CGCCGCCTGAATCCGGAGTCACAGCCTGTGTCCTCCAGGCAGAAACTGGCCTTGTGTCCCTCGGCCACTTTTCGTCCAGTGACAACATCCAGCAGGTCGTAGTTACTGAAGGCGTCCATGCTGTGGTAGTGTCTGAGGATGTAGAACATAATAGAATAGAAAATAATAAAAGCCTCTTACGCATGACTCAAACAGAGTTCAGGAATGACTTTGAGACCTTTAATACCTTCTTTAATGAATTTTTAGGGGGTGGTGTTTTTTTTTTCTTCATATCAGAGCTGAAAGGAGTTGTGCTAATAACAACATTTAAATGATGTGAGGTCATTTCACTTGTAGCCTGAGTTAACTCACTGGTGACAGCTGTGCCAGTCCCACTGATATCTCGGCTTGACAGGCAGGAAGTCGGTGGTGCCTTGGTTCTTCACTTTCTGGGGGAATCGCAGGAGGACTCTGAAGTCGATGTCTCTCACGGTGGGTCCATAAGCCGACCTTGGATGGATTACAGGGGAAACAGGCATAAGCTGCGTTGGAAAGTGCAACTGGCTGAGCTCCTGGGGCTAGTGTTCTTAAAAGTAACGGAGTGCAAAGGGTTTGTTCCATTGTGCTTAATGCTTTTGGGAAAACCAACCCAGAACATTTATGTCTTGGCAGGACATCATGTTGGAGAATCACTGCTCCATAATAAGATCAAACAGTTTCTGTAACTCTATCAACAGAACAGTTATCCTGACACACTGAAAAGTTAGGCAGACATAATTGAAAGTTATCCTAAAACAACCAGAATCTGTGTTAAGGCAAGTCAAATTAACCTTCAATGAGCAGTAAAAACAAAGGAAATACCTGTGTGTGTTGGTGTGTGTGAGTGTATGTGTGCTTCAGTGTCTACATGCTGAAGAACTGAATCACTTTTGGCACCGCAGATTACCTGGCCAGACAGTTCTCCTCAGCAGCACAGCGGAGCGCATACATCTGCATGCGCTGGATATAAGCACCTGCTTGGATGGCATATGGGTCTGGCACGAGGTCTGGCAGTCCTGGAAGAGGAAAATTAAAGGGACAACCCAATTTTTTTTTCTTAATGTTGCCTTTTCATTCATGCTGAGAATAAATCACTGAAATAGAGGGTGTGTAAGTTGGAAATGAGAGCAGCTGTTTGTGTTTGTTGGCATAATTCAAAGTGTTTCACATTCCAGAGCTGACAGTCTGGGATCCAAAACCCAAATAGGATTTTTCCCTTATTTTCATTCAGTTTTTTCCTCTACTTGAGTGAGACCTGAAGCCTTAAACTACTCCCAAAACCAACTGATTTAAAACGTATTTTTTTTAATGTAATGGATTATTATTTAGACTGAGTCGGTTTTATCCAAATTGATGCACCCACTGGACCATCATGTTGGTCTAAGATCATTTAAATCCATTTCCAATTAAGAAGGCTAAGCTCATTTCATGTGATTAGCACACTTAACGTACCATTTTGGAAATATCTTGTTCCATATCCTGTGCCAGGCGGACGGCGCGTGCGGGCCGCTGACCTCCCTCTTGTGGGATACGAGTTGTAGAAAACAGAATTCCTGTGGTTTTTAAGCGGATTTCGAGGGTCGTCGTTAACCATGTCCTCTCCATTACCAGTTGGCTCGCTTGGAAGTTCCTCACTAGTTGCAGGGAATGGAGCAGGAACCTCAGATTCCCTGTCCAGAGTTGTGGGATTCGCTGGGATGGAGTGATCCGTCTGCGCGGGTTGCCTGGAGACGGACATCGCCTCTGGCACCGCGCGTAACTGCTGGTATTGCGCACCGGGCCCTGGTTCTCCTCCTCTGGTGTGCGGTGCAGTAGCATCCACTCTGACACCTCCTCTTCTGCCTGGAAAATCTGTAAAACTCCCCGGTGCAGAGGCGTTGATAGTGTTGGTGTGATCAGCACTAAAGCGCTGCGCGCCTGGATAACCTGAAACTCCTACTCCGTGAGGACGCTCAGGCTGCTGTCTGGTCCCGGACGCACGGCTGTTAAACGACGCATATTGTCTAACAGCGTGTCCTGGCGCAATAGACCCAGGCTCTACACCGTGATCAGTCCTTAACTGTCTGGAGTCAGCCTGTCCGGGTCTCATAAGCGTCGCTCCTCTGTGCGCTCCCGGCATTTGGCTCCTGGTGCCATCCCTCAGGCTGCTCACAAAAACCCTCGACTGGCTTCTGGACCGAACCGGAGCCTGGTACTCTAATCCAGTGCTCATTAAACTATAAACTTGCCCGTTGTTCTCCCACTGAATACGGTGCCGCCAGGGACCAGCTGTGCGCTGCTGCTGCCCAAAGATGAGGAGAAATAGTCCTTGGAAAAAGTATAAAAATAAAAGTGACCATTTTGCCATGGCAGTAAAGCTAGAAAAAAAAAAAAGAATAACCCTGTAAGTCAATGATAAATCAGATTATTAGATAAATTGCTCGCACAGATGTTGCTTTGTGGGAAATGGATGAAAAGCAGGAGTGTTCCAGCTCTTACACAGAACCACATATCAGTTCCCAGGAGGGAAAGTGGAGAGGAGAGGAGGGCTGGAGTCTTTTTTTTTTCCTGGTCATTTATCGAATTCAGCCCAGTCACTTACGCGAAGTCAAACTTTCTAGCAAGACAATTTAACCCATGCCTTGCCGTAGTTAAGTTCTGTTACACAACGTTTGCTTTGTAAACTTTACGCACGGGTGTGACATGCAGTCTCCTAAATGTTGCCGTCCAATCTGGTTATTTTCAACAACCAGTCCGCTCAGTAGAGGAAAAGCAAAAGCACAGTAACTGTTGAAAAAAGTACGTTTTTGATTTCACTTACACAACAGTCTTCAGCTGAAAATATAAACATAGACCTACTGTTTAGTGAGAATTGATGTCGCCTATTAAAATGCCATTAGAGAACATAAATATTCTAAATATTTCGTTTATTTCAAGTGCACACTGTTATTAATAACAGATATCAGATGGTAGCTTTTATCCTATCGACTAACATTGTGCAATAACTTCAGATTGGCCGCACTACTTCATGTCCTCATGTGGCACCACCGGTCCGCCACACGGCGGCAGGCTGCGTCTGTGTGTTACCATCCTGCAAACACTGTTGCTCTTCAGGAACATTTTATCCCTCCTGGGAGAATCTAGGTCCTCAAAACTATTTTACTGTTGATCCTTCCTGAATTACTTCTGAACATGTGCTGTTTTGTTTACAAACGGTCCAAACATTTTGTCAACTTTATTTTATTTTGGCTAAATTCCATATTCACAGCAGCACATTTTGTAAGGTTAAGCCCTGTGTTAAGATTTTATTAAAAAACAGACTGAACATGCAAACAATTATTTCACCTGACAAAAGCAGTTAAACCTATAAATGTATATCATACATACCTTTATTATTATTTTGTTTCTTAAATTCATAAACTAACCTAATTCTAAAGCATTATCATTATTATTACATAAGTGAAAATGCTCTCCCACCCTTACAAAACATAAGCTAGGCTTTTTTTAGGCTCACTTGTCACATCTATTTAGAGATCCATTGGCTGCGCAGGCGCAACTTGGGTTCAGAGTTCAACAGACTTCCAAACGTTGTCGCTACGTGTCAAAAGCACCGTCCAGTCTGTCATGTGATGGAGTAAAGGTACAACACACAATAAAACAAACGTGACTCACCCTGATTAGATGACCTGATAATGATCATTACCTCACTTTGTTACACACTGCTGTTATTACATTACTGATTAACATTACATCTAAGTTTAACTAAATATGAGGGTTTCATGTGTAGAGGTTCTCGGAAATTAGATGAACTGTGCATAAGAAGCAAAGGTGGAAGAAGTATTCAGATCTTACTTAAAGCAGAAACAAAGAACTTTGTGTTTAGTGAATCCGACCAAATCCGACCCAGTGGCAGGCATTAAGAATAACTATATAGAAACAGCTTCTCTCTGACGGTGTCCGTTTATGTCAGAGGCATCAGTATTAAATAAACTGAGACTTCTTTACAATTAGTTAAAAACTCCTTGTAGTAGGTTGAAGTAAAAGTAGTAGACATAATACCACAGTGTATAAATACTAATAAGTATGAACATCAACATATACTTGAAGTACCAAAAAGTACTCATCGTGCAAAATCGCTCATTTACTGATGCAATGATGTGTAAACCTCACTAATGTTGCAGCTAGTGAAGTTGCAAGTTAATTTTACACTACTCTATATACTGCTGTCTTAATAGGCTATAATATGAACTATTAAAGTTGATTTCTATTTTGCATGAATCATCTGCAAAGTAGTAACTAAAGGGGTCAAATAAATGTAGTGAATAAAAAAGTAGTGGAGTAAAAGTATAAAGCAGCATAAAATGGAAATACAAGTACAACCACTTTAAAGACAAACTGAGCCCGTAAAGTTTGTAGCAGTTTACACTGAAAGGAGAACACTAACATCAAGTAGTCTGTTTTTTGTATGTGTTAACTTGTTATTTGTATCAGTGTGACAATGGATGTATTGAAAGAGAAAGGAGGCCCACTGAAGCTGAATATGTGTGGAGGTATTTGTGCTACACCCCTTTCATTAAGTGCAATAATCAAACTTTTTGTCAGCCTGTTGCCTTTTTAACTCTGTTGCTCAAACTGGTTTTTACATATAACTAAAGGCTATAGATCAATACAATTTTTTTTTTTTTTACAGGTAACGTTGTTTAATATGGGTCACAAATAGGGTAAGATACACACACTGGTCCACAGAGGAGTCTTGCAGACTTCAGTATTTGTCACCTCTTAGATGAAGTGCCAAATAGGGCATCAGGATGGCGAGCCTGCATGCTTTTCTATTCTTAGTGAAAGAAACCTTCTCCTGTTCCAAAGTTCAGCCCCCCGCCCAGCTCTCTGCTGCAGTCCAGATTTTATAAGAGCCGCAGATCCAAGGCACTGGTTTGGCACAAGACTTCCCGAGCAGGACATGTAACCCACAAAATTTAGCCAGTAAGTATTGACGTTGAATTGAGTCTTTCTTGTGTGTCTGACCTGAAAGTAAACAAATCACAACAAATGTTGCCACAAAAAAAAACTAATCTTTACTGTAAATTAGGAATGCTTGGAAATAAAATAAACAGTTTCTGGTTGTTTTCTTGGTACACCTACAGCAGCAGCAGCAGCAGCAGCAGATCTTTCCCCGTGTGAAAGACTAATTCTTTTACGCTTTGAATATATCTTATCCCATGAATCTAGGTATCCAGGGCTGCTCACAGCTTTGCTTCTTGTGAGATTAAACGAAGATGATGGTCTTAAAATGGTTTTACCACAAGAAAACTTCCCCACAAGGAATATACCTGTTGTCTTCCCCTGAGGCCTCACACTGCCAGTCTGAGGAGTTTACAACTAAATGATAGATCCAGAGGGTTTACCACAGATCATGGGGAGACAGTACAGGTGAGCTGCTGAAAAAATGTTTGAACAAAAATGAAAATTATTACACTCTGTTGTGGGACAATCTCCCGTTATGTGGTCATACATAGTTCCCCCTGTAAGCCAAATTTGTGTTTATTCTAAAGTCTAACCTATGTTAAAATAGAAATGTCTATTAAATGATGAATTATGCATTATTTGACAACTGCAGGGCTGCAGATCATCAGGTTTCTTGTGACACATGTCTTGCTTATCGTTGATTAACCTTTGCCAAAATGAGCGTGGTCAGCGCTCCTCACGTTTCAGCTTTGAGCAGCAAGCTGCTGTATCTATCTTCACGTTTTGGTCAGTCCACACGTGACGAATAAGTGTTGAAAGCAACTAATATGTGAGCTATTAAAAACTGTCTTTAAAGCAGTTTTAACCAGCTGACCCTTAACCCAAACTTAAATGTTAATAACTTCTTATGTTAAGGGTTTATCTTGGCCTTTAAGCTTCACTGTATAGTATAAGTGATTACTTCACTTTTTGGATAAACTTTTTTTTTTATCCCTAAAGTCTGCACTAAAGTCTACAATAAAGGAAGACAACAAACATAAAGTATCAACAAGAGTAATTTTAGGTATTTTGTCTTGTGGATAGGCTAAACTTATATGTAGGTCAAGTATGTATGCACTGATTCTGTGCATTTCATTTGCCCAATCTACATCAGAGGTATTTTATTTATTTATGTTCATTACGCATTTTACGCTATTAACTAGACTGGATAAACTGTATTCATTTATTTATCAGAGACCGCACACATTAAATAAAGCCAATGTGATATGAGTTAGTCAGATTTATCCAAAAGGCTCATTTTCATCTACAGTCCCTGGTTACGTTATGCAATAAAAAACAGCAGCTAAAACAAATATAATAAAATAAATAAGTTATGAATAAAAAGAATAATATCATTGTATGTTGGACTACAGTTAGAAGTTTGATGTGTTTTTTGGGTGATAATTTTGTTTTATCGTTAAATTTGTATGTCTTCTTCTCTCTTCAAAACTATTTTATTGAAAAAAAAAGGTTGGGAAATATCATGAAAGTAAAGTAACTTTGGTGCTGACAAGAAAATATTCAACATAAGAAAAAAGAACACCCTCAAGGAACAGTTGCCACGTTTACAAAAGCAAAATACATAAATAAATGATGTAACAAGCAAGAAAAACAACATGATTTATCTGATACATGAATGTTAATGATTAGTAAGAGACTGTCAGCTCTTGTTAAATTGTGTATTGAGGGTGCAGAGTATGAATCAATTCATTAATCCCCTTCATCCGGTGCTGAAAAATATGATTTTTTGCTGTAAGAGAAGAGATTGAAGCTGCTGTTGCGTCTTTGCCCCTCAGTAAGTGGTGAGTTAGAACCACATGTCATTGATTTCTCTGTTGCGGGTTTAAGGTCACTGAAAACTGATCAGGATCAGGTGCCTGTTCCCTAATCACCTACTTTGTGAAATCAATAAAAACCCAAGTCTCTTGTTTTAGCATTTATAAGCAGTATATTTAATGAATGGTCTATAAACACACTATAATGAAGCTGTAAGCACGTATAAGTGTTTATTAATGTATTAACAAGTATAACTTCTCTCCATAAGTGGAGGCTGCTGTTATTACAACATACATAATGAGTGACAATATTATAAAACATTACCTAATCTGAAAAATAATCATTGCTAACAAATCCAGTCCTTATATAAGCTTAAAACTGCATCATAAGGTGTTATAAACCATTAATGAAATGTTTATATACAGCTTATAAATTCTAAAAGGGCTACCCATAAATTAATTCAGTTGTTCACATATGTGTAGTCACACCGAGGCATCCATAAATATCATTCATTCAGTGGAATAACCACAACTGTTCACATGCGTCAGGGGTCCTCACTCACTCATACAAGGGGGGGCGTCTGTACAGCATGTGACAGCCGCTCATCTCCTGTGTCCCTGCCTCTGAACCCAAATATGGACACCCCTGCTGTACTTTTGGGGTTGCCATGGTGGCGGGTGACGTGGGAACACATGCCACCCCACAAGGTTCTCACCTTACCCACCATCGTGGTGGTGGGTGGGCCTGGCCCCTGAGTCAGACCAGGCTGTGGAGCGTAGAGTGGGTGTGTAGGTCAGTAATTGGCTGTGCGCTTGTTAAATATATTCCCCTGACACTCCAGGCCCTTAGCCTAAATATAAACTGACAGACCAGACACCCTGTGCTCCAGGCCAACTGCTGGCATGTAAAGACTCCCAGAAACGCATCACAAGACCCTGAACCCCACTCCCCAACACACCCGCTGTGGCACTGCCAGGTCGTGGGACAGAGCTGGTCGGTGCACAGTGTGAGGCAATCTATATGAAGGAGAAATTTAGAAAAAGACTATGTGACATATAATACACATAAAGACTATAAATCCTTTGTTATTTTAATCATTCAGACACAAGTCGTTTGTTTTATGATTCAGGCTGTGTTATCGGCTGCAGATAGGAACTCTCAAGGTTACCATACAATTCACTGGTATTTGATATTGACATATCAATAAAAGTGAGAATTTACTGCTCTATGTTTCCCCTCATTTCTGTGCAGACAATGTTGGCTGAGGGTAGAGCGATGTGGGTGACTTTTGAAAGGACGTTTCAGTGTGTGAACTATGCCATAGATTTCAGGGGGAGCTCACTTTGTTTTTGGAAGGGGGGGGCACTAGTTGCAAAGACACAATCATAACTTATCAATCATGTGGGACTACTTATGTCAGCATCTGATATATAATACTATACGACTGGCACACATGTATTGACATACATCAATAATAGCCTAATTTTACGTATATAATCCAGGATGATAAAGAGCATTTTTACAGGGGGGGCTCATGTCTTATTAAGAGCAGCCAAACTCCCCCTGGCTCCCCTGTAGTTCGCACCCTGGGACGTTTGAGATCCTTTTGATCCTTTTGAGATACCTGTCAGTGAAAAGTGCAATTACTTTCTCTCCATGTCTTGATTAAAGTGTGATGCCATTAATTGAACAAAAAAATACAGCCGAGTGGTTGTCAAGACAGAGATTTTGCTCCTTTATTCTGCAAAGCTGAAGGCTATAATATATAATGTTACTGAATGTGTTGGTGGCACATAATAAGACTGAATGAAGACTTTCTGTAGCTGACATTCCTGTGTGGATGTAAGAGACAAGAGAAACAGGGTTTACAGAAATATCACAGATATTTTCATTTAGTGCTTTGCAAATGGATGATGAGTTCTTATAAGATCTCCCTATCGGTTTACAATTAACTTTTTTTCGTAGCTTTTTCATTATTACACTCAGTTCAGTGCGGTAATGGCTGATTTTAGCATTTCACAGTATTATAGACAGTACAATATAAGTAGTAAAACATGTCCTTACACATTGCTCTCATATAAAATCTGAACTCAAACTGATACCCAAAACAAACAGAGGATGTCAAGAGTGTAAATGTATGAAAATAAAGTATTCAAAGTAAGAGGAATAAATATGGCCTCATTCTTGAGGCATTAAAAATCCAGTTCCAGACATACAAGGAGATGATTTTAAAATAAAGCTCCTTTAATAAATATGGGCAGGCACATCATAAAATATCAAAACTTGCCTTCCTCTTGAAACACACTATAAACAGTTTTCTTCTTTGTTTTATTTTTTAAAGTTATAGAATGTAATTTCCATATTTATATACGTCATAATGTTTAAAATGACGGTAGATAAATCACCTTCTTTCTTTTTCCATCTTGTAAACTGTGATCGTAAATCTATTGTCTTTTAGAGGAAAAATTCTCAGTTCACTTTTATTGAGGCTCTAAATCTAATCTGTGAGTGTCATTCAGGGGCTACAGGATGTTATCAGTCACCCTCAGTGTGCAGAAATCTATGTGGTTTGTGATTTCCTTTATGGGAAGGACATGGGTGTGTGTGAAATGAGTGAGGAAAAAAAGACAGGAAGCATTAAGTGGATTCAGTAGTTTCATTAAGTTGCGAGACACAAATCTTTCCTCCCAGTGGGCAATTTATGCTTTCACATAAAACAAGATGTGTCCTTGATGTTAAACACTGGGAAGTCCAGAGGTGGCTTATCTTTTAGAAAAAAGTTACACAGGATTATACAAAACACTTCTGCCATTAGTTCTTAATAAGTTACAGGATTAACTATTTACAAATCCGGCTAGAAGCACAGAACTGGTGTTACACATTGACGCAAAATTATATTTACAAGTCTATACACATATCCACTGCTATCCCCATCTTGCTGTGGAGAGAGAGAGAGAGAGAGAGAGAGAGAGAGAGAGAGAGAGAGAGAGAGAGAGAGAGAGAGAAAGGGGAGAGAAGTTACTCACAATGAATAAAACACTTATCAATCTGTCAGTGAATATATTTTAAAAGTTTGCATTTACCTATAAGGTGTTCAGTACGGAGTTCTGAACACTTTCATATACTTTGTTGTAGATATTTTCCTTCGATGTCATCCCATCAAGGTACTCTGTGCAGAAAGAGAAATGAGAAGTGAATAATAGTCTTTTATAAGAGAGAGAGGGGGATATTTTGCTTATATTTTGACGATATGGATGTGGATAGGAAGACATAGTGAGGTAGGCACATGAGGGCTAAATGTACCTATTCTGTCACAGTTGTTCTCCATCTCCTTCCTGTGTCTCAAGTACATGGGCCAGACATGGCCATCGAACAGGTCTGGGGGGTCAGGGACTGTGTATGTCCTTGTACTGCAGAAACACAATCAGTCAAGTCACATTATAGCCTGCAACAACTCGTCTAACGCAATCTGTCAATGTCACCAGAAGAGTTTGTTACCTTCTCCTCCTTTTGCACTCCTCATAAGGAATGGAAATGTAGAAACATTTGTCATAGACGTCAATTAGAGGCCTGCAGAGGGGGACAAAGGTTCAGATTAGTGAAAAGCTTAAGTGGTCAAGATAGGTTGCATTTTAGAGCTTGTGTAGTGAGTAAAAAAGCAAGATGGCCCACTTGTAGTTGTAGATGAGGAAGCCCTCCACAATGAGAATATGGATCCCTTCTGAGTCGGCTTCCTCAGCTTCAGGTGACAGGCTGACGCCGTGTGAGCGGGCAAACTTGACTGGGTTCTCCTGCCAGCCTTTCACAGTGCTGATCATAGCCTCCATGTCCAGGGCAGAGATCACTGATATAGAACAAGGAGAGAAGAGAGAAAAGTGGGCTTCACCACACATGCAATAAACACTCCTCACCAATGTGCTCTAACACACATTAGTCACAGTTAGTGAATGTCTGTTGCATTCACAGAATAGATGATAGAAAATCACAAAGTTTAGGATTGATTGGTTACCAAACTAAAGAAATGTGCAGGAAAGAAAAAGTACATTACTGCATGGTTTTCCTACGTGAAATCCATTCTTACCATCCCACTGTCTAAAGCCGTCCTCCCCGACTTCTATTTGATCGGGTTTCTGAAATAACAGTCACCAATAAAACATTGCTGCAACCTAGTAACCAGTAGGAGCTGATCACACCTGGACAGGACAAGTCAAGGACTCGTCTCCACCAAAAGTAACGCACGGTGCGGGTTAAATGTTTTTTTTCCTAATGTTGCCAAATATCGTTTGCAAATGCCTTAAGACTAAAAAAATGCTCATAACGTGTTATTAAAAATGAAACTTCTGACTTGTTTAGCAAACTCCTTTTCTTTTAAGAAAAAATCTGCCGGTTTGCGATTTGGTAATTGCGATTTCGATGTTTTGCAGTTGTGCGGCACCCTTGATGTATTGCTAAAGTAGTAAAACACAAGATATGAGGTGAAAAGATACATGTGGTAGAGCTAAAATCTTCTGGTTTCTTTTAGGTCAAATGAGGTTACTGATCATGCAAAAAAAAGTTGGTTGCAGAATTTGCAACATGATTGGTACAAAGTTTGACTTTAAGTGGGGACGTTCAGCCCTTTCATTGGCTGTCCAGGAGACAATCAGCCAGATGTATTACTAGGCTACTGAGTTGACAGGACATCTGCAGGTCAGACTGGTGGGTAAAAATGTCCTCAAAGGCAAATTTAACATAGCAAGTGAACTATATCAAAAATAATACTTACAGTAACTCAACATTAATGCATTCAAATGTTAACCGTAGCTTTAAACTATACTGTAGTGATTCAATTGTCAAAAGCTTAAAAGCATGATGACTTCAATTTTCTTACCTTGAAAAAGTCATCCTGATGCACCACACAACAGTTGGGTAATGTCTTAAGTAGTCTATTTGTCAAAGTGGTCTTCCCACCGTTGGTCACTCTGAAATTAAATTATATTTCATGCCACACAGATGAGTTAGACTCTAGGATTTTGCTAAGTTTTATCGCTAGACAAATAGGTAAATACTTTAACAGACACTTACCCTCCGATACCAATGATGAACTTCATTTTCACTTCTGTGTATTGGTCACCTCTGGAATTCAGTAAATAAAAGAAGGGAACCCAGCCAAAACAAACCCTCTCTCAAAGGCTTCTTCTGAAAACCTTTCCTTCTCCTCTGTCACAGATGTTCCCCCCTTTTACTACTTCATTGATAGACAATCTCTTTGCCGGGCATATAAAGGATTTAGCTGCAGCGTCACAGTCTCTCAAACCAATCATCCGCCTTGTCCTGCACCCAATAACCTGTTTGCTTTACAGCCACGCAGCCACGCAGCACCAATTGGAGGAGGACTTAGGAGCCTCACATTTGCATGAAAGTAGATCCCAAATATTCCACCTGCTGTCAGGGGTCACTGAAAACTGGCCAAGCAAAGGCACGACAAATGCCCATACCCAACAGAATTATTAGAAGATAACAGAGAAATGGTAATGAAACTAAGCTGGAAAACACAAAATTAATTCTCTCTTTGGAAAGAACCACAATCACATGTGCAGTCTCAGATAGAGAGCTAATGTAGACTAGTGATGCTGGTAGTTTAGAGGTTGTAAAATCTGTTATTTGTTCTTAATTTGAGATAAAAACGTATAAAACCTGCTATAAAAACAAATCCAAATCTAAAATGTAAGAGGTGATTTAGGTGCAGATTATCACAAGGGAGTTTTTGTCTTAGAATAAATGGAGAGGAGGCAAGGGCTGCAAGTTGTACAATCATTAAAATGAACTGTAATACATGCCAGAGTATAAAAGCCACATCCTGTAACTGAAACATCTGTATCACAGCTCAAAGTAAAAAACTCATAATTTGGGGGATTTAGAAGGGAACATTTTCCATGCCTAGACAGCTCTGGGTAGGTGAAAACCAGAAGCCCTATATTTAGTTGGCTGTTGTGTGTCCGCCTGCTGCGTCACGCATATTTCTGATGCAACCAGCTGGAGTAAGTGGCCACCAGCCATGTGACCACAGTGTCTCGAATCACAGCTATAGGTCTGATAACACAGGTCTATTTCTTTGCACTAAAGTACGTGCCGCTTATCAGCCCTTTTTGTTACACACCTCCGGATGTGTGCAGTTTAACCTTGTGTTCGTTATGTTTTTACAGTATTTGAACAAGTAGGTTTACAGATTATTCTGAAAGTGTGAAAGAGGTGAACTTTGAGTCTCGGATATCAGAGCACATGTTCGTCTTCAGGGGTTCGTATTTCACTGCTATTACAATCCCAAAGGACAGGGCATTCCTGTTGACACCATGTGATGATAATATTTCTTGAACCCAAAAGTGATGTCAGCTTTAATGTGTTGTAATAATGTTTGTTAACAAAAAACGGTTGAGACTTTGGGGTTATAAAGCCATATAAGCTCAGACATTTTGTAGGGCACCAAACCATGTGGTCTACCATGTGAAGCATGTGGTGCACACACTTTTTCCTTAGACTTCGAAGACAGACAAACCTTTACCTGACCAGCATTTTAGTGGATAGTTGTATGAATCTGCTCATAAAAAGAAATGTAAAAATGCAGATTTGTGGTTTTAGAGGAAGTTACATAACTTCTTCTGGATGACATTAAACTGTTGTTGACCAAGTCCACATGTCTACCCCTTTAATCACAAAATACCATTTTTATAATATGTATAAGTTAACAATGTGCTTATCAGTTAGTTTTAGAAGCATTGGTAGATGTTTTAACTTTGGAGAGAGTCCAGGTCAGTCCCATAGCCAGAAGATACTTCTTGGATGTGAATTTCATAAATTGATTTTATATATATTGTTGGAGGAATTTGTAAAGTTAATGTATTTATTGTAATTTAGCCAAACCCCCCCCCATTCATAATAGTGCCGCAACACTGTAAATCTTATCCTGACAACACCATACAGTATGATATTTTAGAGTTAATGAGTGAGTCAAACCTTTCACTGCCATAACAGATCAATATAGACAAATGACTACAGGAAAGTACACAAAATATTACAGGAAAACAACTAGAACATTTTTTTTTAAAACAAAAGATCATAAAAATGTCGAGCGACATGCAGAAAGAACTATTTATTATGGGTTATGTATTGCACTTATACTGCAGCGTGTGATCATAGTAACGTGGCATATAAAAATAAAGAAAGGTCACTTCAGGAGTATTATGTCCATATGACTCCTATGAAGCACAGGACTGTGGACAGGTGACACAAAGGACGTCAACTGACTTGGCAGACACACTCATAAATCACAATTATGCCCCTCAATAACTCATCAAGAACTGTCAGTCAAAAACATTCTGGACTAAAGTGAAACACATTTAGAGGCAATAAAAAAGATGAAAATATAAGCTGTAATGTACATGAGCGTGGTTGTCATTGGAAATCATCTGTTCTGTATCAGAAGTCAAGGTTGGATACAAGAGGTCACGGCATGACAGAAGCTTGTTTTAATTCACTCATTTATTCTTTTTTTTTTTTACAAACAGTAAATGGCACAGTTTCATAAATAACATTTATATCAATAAGTTTGACTCTATTTTTAAATATATTTCATTTGTAACAATGTATGCTTTCCATCTTGTAAATGTACCTTTGGAAACAAGATGGCAAATGACTTAAAAACTGACAACTGTAACCCAGACAGAAGGATATAAACAAGCATGCCACTTGCATATCAAAATCTGGAAAACTGTAACACACATTTGCATCAGTAACATCAACTGTAGGTCTAAGAAGAACAAAATCATTGCACATAATTTTTCTGTAAACAGCCATGAAAGTTGAAACTAAACAATATCCATGCCATTCATATCAAAACCCAAATATCTGTGCATACACCCGTCTCAAAAATATATATACACAAGTATGTACACTTTGCACTAGTAATGTGCACTATTCCCGGCTCTCAAAGGATGCTTGAGTGTTCATCCAAGTCCTTAAATTTTAATTTATATAGTTGAAGTCATGCTGTAGATAAAGCTCAACTGGGCATGCAGGGAGCAGATACTTTTTGATTTAGCTATATTTTGTACTATATCTGTAATGCTGTGGTGTAAATTAACTTTTAGTAGAAGCAAGCATGTCACTGAAGATAATGTTTTTTGAGAAATGATTGTCTTGCAGCTAATGGATCCAGTCAGGAGATTTAATCCTGCGCAACATGCCCATGCTGGTGGTCTACGCTGGCTCCAGTTTTCATGAATGAATGTCCCCCATTGGTTCTTCAATTTAAAGCTCTGTAATGCAAATAAAGACAGTTTAATTATTTGTCTTTCTCCGTCACCTTTATTCACACAAAGATATTGAAAGGTCAACATTTGTGCATCTCCACAAATACAACATTTCTATATAATCCTTAAATTTGTCTGTAGGCATGCACAATGTCTAAACTAAATCCAACTGGGCACATATCAGGTTTGCCCATTTATTTTTCCCCTGCTTCCTCCCTTGGCATTTGGTTAGGAGATGGTGCCTGTGTCCATTCCTTGGATGTCGGCCAGTCCTCCGGCTGATAGGTCCTTTGATATATGGAGGCTGATAGGAATGGTAAGCAGCACAGTGCAGCATTGAAGGGGGCAATGGGACGGGGGGGGTTCTAAAATAACCTACCTCGCCCACCCTAACACACCCCCAACCTGCTGTGGTGGGTTTTCCCCCTCTTCATTTCAGAACAGGCTGTGAGACGCAGATCAATTCGCCAGACCTGAGTGGTACAACCCATTAAAAATAGAATCGATTGGTTTTGTGCAGGCTGGCCTAAAGAGACAAGCAGCTGTGCTTTACGTAACACCGGGTACGGAGGGAATATGATGTTTGAGGATCAGCTAACATTTCTGGGACTGACACGCAGTCTTAATTTAAAGACCTGAAACATGACTTGGCATAAGTAAAAATGAGCTGGACATGTTGACTGACAGTAATCACACGGCACCATATTCTATGCTTCAGCCTTTGGTCCAGTGCTCTGGGAGAAGTTGTTTATTTAACATTCATTATTTTTTCTATCTTTAACACAGTCAAAACATGAAAGTGATTGAGATTAAAGAAATTAATGCGCACTTGTTTCCTCCTGGGGCTAACTATCCATGAATGAGATGTACTTTTACTTAGACTTGTATCCAAAAACTACAGATTTGATTGATTTGTGACTTCCTTGATTATTCATTTAATCTTTTTTTTTGTCAAAACTGTGAAAAATTCCCTTTGTAATATCAGAGAGCTCAATGTAGCATAATCGGATGTATTGTTTTGTCCAACGAACAGTCCAAAACCACAAAATATTGAATCTATTTTAATATAAGACAAACAAAATGTACTAGTAATAGTGACTGAAAACTTAAATGAGCTGAACATCTTTTTAAGATTTACCTGAGATCTGAGTCATCCTCTCATTCTCTCTGCATGTGGTTTCACTGGACTCAAGTCTGATACTGTAAATTGGATCTGGGAGCCCCTGAACTGAGAGGTGACCCTTTGGTCCTTTGGTCAGTGACCAAACACTCCTGAGAGGCCATCGTCCAACATTTGGGTGATTTACTGTATTGCGTCTATTCTGCACACATAAGCACATGTGTGCGGGAGCAGAAGAGAACATTTCCCTGTATGTCAGAGATTAGTTACAGAGGGGCTGACATTACAAACCAGCCAGGTTGAAGTTGGAAAGGCAGTTAAGTCAATGAGAACCCTTACCTTAATGTCAGATGTCATGACCAACTTCTGCTATCATTGACTTTGGCCTGGAAATGACAGATTAAAGTTAAGCCATAAGTAAATATAATTTGTTTTAGCCCATATTAGCAGAAGCTCACATTCAATAAAGAGAAGAAATGCACAGATTGATTTGCTATTCAGCCTTTTATATCACATTTCTTATACATATTAATGGACAGAGCTGCCTTAGTTCAGTATTTTAACTATAGTAGTATAGGGGAAATGGTGTCAGACTTCTAGCAGCCAGCAGTCATTGATAAGAGAACAAAATGTCTCAACATTGTCCATGTTCCAGTGCTGTGGTAGGAAAATGTGTGATTTATCCAAAGATGGCAGTGGACTGTATGTACTGCAAATTGAGGTCACCTTTCTTTAGGCAGTGTTGAGTTGGACTGCTGCTGCTCTTGCTCAAGTCTGAAAGTAAGACAGGCGACTGTTAATAATCCTACTAAGATGCAGAAAAAAAGAGCACTCATTAAAATACTTGGAAATCCACTGCTCACCTTTCCCTTTGTGCTCTTATCTTCTCGTCATCATACCTTTAAAACAAGAGAATATAACTCTCAGGATAATTTTTCATTAAATCAACATACTTCTCAGCAGTGGTACAAAGAAGCTACATCCACAATGAGTCAAAGATTATTTCTGTTGTTCTAGTTTGGACCTGTTTACTGTACTCAGGTATTTATTGTGGTGTTTCCCAAAACGTCTGGTTATGAGACTCACCCAGCTGAAACTATTGAACTCCACAGTTTAGCCACCTTTATTCAAAATAAAAATGAATACCAGTATAATTATTTACGTTTTAGAAATCCTGTTCTACTGTATGCTGTATGGGACTTGGCAGTCATGGTCCAAACACATTAAAATAAACTGTGACAACTATAGATTTAAATAAATGCTAACATTAAACATTAGTTAAAGTTAAATACAGGTTGGCTCAGGTTTAGTTCAGTCACTGTACTGTAAGCATTCTCTCAAGGTGTTACTGAAAGCAGCACATAACATTAGCTGTGACAGACATGTGCAGTGTCTCAACAGGGACCCTTGGTGGCTGAGAGTACTTACTGCAACACACACTCAGGGATCTGCACATGCTCCATTGGGATGATCTGGCTGAGCTCTTCTAGGGTGTGAACGTACCGGATCTTATCCATAAACTTCACACTGTAGAAAACATAAACAACATGTCTGAAAACTATACATTTACATTTACATTTTTGTTATGGTCTGAATCTGCATGCAACTAGATCATCCCTAATTTATCTTGTTTCTTAGATTTGTTTGGAGAAGAGGTTCTCAGCCAGTATATAACTCAAAGGATAGACGGATGAACTATGAACCAAACTGAATGTATCCTCACCTGATGAAAGGTCTTGAGATCGCCAGGACGGTCCGAATGAACCACGTTGGGTGAGCAATGATGAGACACTTTAGATTCTTCCTCAACCTGCAGGAGACATTCAGATTTAAAGTGTTTGCAGTGTTTTCCTCCTTCTCGTAATCATTTTAATCATAATCAATTCAAATTGTATCGTAATGTATCTTTCTATCTTTAGGATCAGCAACATTAGTTTTACATTCTTGTCTATGTTCTCATTTCCATCACACACTTACTTCCTGTCAATCATCTGGTAGCATCTCTTCAGCCAGCTGATGCCGGGCATCTTCCTGCGAGGAGTTGCTCCATTCATGTAAACAATCATGTAATCTTCTGCAACCAGAAGCTCCAGGCTGCTCACAACGTATCTGAGGACAGAACAAACACGCTCAGATGTGACTCAGACTGTACCATACAAGATAAAAACATTTTACTTGAAAGAATTCCTATATAGAAGTGGATCTTATCCAGATATACAGACGATCAGCCCCAATTCCAACAAACTGTGATGCACTGTCCGTTCTGACACCTTTCTATCAGAACCAGCCTTAACTTTTTCAGCAATTTGAGCTACAGTAGTTTGTCTGTTGGACCTCACTTTTGATAGGTACTGACCACTGCAGACCAGGAACACCCCACAAGAGCTGTAATTTTGGAGATGCTCTGACCCAGTCATCTAGACATCACAATCCTTGTCAAAGTCGCTCAATTACTCCCACTGCCCATTTTTCCTGCTTCTAACACATCAACTTTTAGGACAAAATGTTCACTTGCTGCCTGATATATCCCACCCACTAACCAGATAATCAGTGTTATTCACTTCACCTGTCAGTGCTCATAATGTTATGACTGATCGGCGTATGCTTCACAAAGTAAAATTCTTGAATCCAAAATAAGTGCGGTTTAACTTTAATTTATAGCATTTAATGTTAATAATAATTTCCCCAGTCATGCCCTTTGATCAAATTACACAGTGAAAACAGAATAAAAGTAAAAGAATAATGTTATGAAACCATTATACAGTATTTTACTGTTAAGAGACCAGAATGGATCTTACAGGAAGAGATTCTCCATGATGTATGTGTAGTCCTCACAGCCGCTGTCAGGGAGGTAGCAGGCTGCAAACACGATGATAGCATTCAGACCCTCACCATAATAACCTGAAAGAGGAGAGGGACCCACACGCAGTCAGTATGATGCGGCTACCTTGGCATAGTTATATATTTCACTGACTGCTTTATCATTGAGGTAAAAAAATATTAACTGCCACAATGTATCATTGCATTTATCAATTCCTGATGTATGATTTTTTTTGCTTATAAAATAGCTTTTCGACTTTTCTTTTTAATGTTTGCTTTTGTTGAGTTTTTGAGTTTTGTCTTTTTGTACCTTGTTTCCTGTGCATCATATGTGCCACATAACTATTAGAATATGAGCTTGTTGGCCCGAATATTGTTTCAGACAAGATTATTCCGATCCTGGTGAAAACATTAACTTGTGACAACTGGGACAAAAGCTGTTTAAAAGTTCAAATACAAGGAGTTTAGACACCAATAACAGTGCGAATGCACTTTTAATTCTATTTTATTTTAATTCTGATGGCACAGGCGAATTAAATGCACTAAGGCTTCAGTTTTATTCCTTCTTCAGGATGGGACAGTCACAATAACCAGTCAACAATGAGTTTTAATCAATTCAGGTGAATCAAGTGGCTATATGTACCTCTGGGGTGCTTTTAGATTGTATATTGTTATACTGACAGGTGTTTCTATTATTTTGTCTACTTTGTCCACATTATTATCAATGAGGGTAGATTAAATAATAACTGCATGTTAGTGTAGTGCACTGATTCTGAAACCATAGTATGTCTAACCACTGGTGCTACGCAACCTGCCTCTTAATTAAAAAATATTAATACTTTAAAAACACAACATTTTGAATTAAAATAATTAAACTATGATATTGCAGAAATCTAATTTAAGTTTTGCATTTTCTGTAATATTTTTGTTTCAATATAAACATCCATGATTAGCTGGATTAGCTAAAATGTTATGGCAAGATAGTAAGTGGAGGTAAAAGCTTCTCATCAGGAATAAACCTGCCTCTTGCGGACGGCCTGCAGTAATGTATTTTAACGTTGGTTATAATTGTGGTACTTGTGGAGAGCAGAATGTTTTCTGAAGTGGCACACGGTGTAAAACACTTGAGAAACACTGGTAATGTGCGATACAATTCAACAGCACCACAAACTACGTCCTCTAAAATGATCATAAAGTTGAATCAACTCCTCTCTAAAACAGTTTAATCAAAACCTAAACATGATAATCTTGATGGGGGTAGGATTTATTGCAGGACCGTTGTAATAGACTACATCAGTTCAGCTTGGTGTACTGGCAACTGAGTGTATGTCCCTATACAATTAACATACTCTGTGTTGGATTTTTAATATAGATTTGCACCACAGCTCTCTTTGGTTGAGTGCAATGTTTCTGTTCTTCCACCTGCATAACTTCATAATATTTGCATAAAAATTGAGCACCAATAACCAACTTTGATCTAAAACGGTCCCATTAATCTTTTAAAACCCATTTTGGATAAACACAAGCCCACAATAACTCACTCAGGTTTTTAAGTACAAGTACACACACACACACACACAGACACACACACTCTTTTACTAACCTCCGTGTGTGACGACCCTCAGGTACGGTCTGATGACCTGCATGTCAATCCGCTGCTCCTGGTCACCGATGATCACTGTTCGCCACAGACGCCCAGATGAGTCTCTCTCCTCCTCACTTTCACCTGGAAGGCGCTTGGCGGTGGCCACAGGAGTGTCATCTAAACACAAGGTGACACAGAGAAGTTGTTGGTCAGACAGTTTAACCTTTCTTCCCTACTAACATTTTTAAAATCACATGAAGTCAGATCAACTTGATTCACAGCTTGTGACACTACAAATACATTTCAACACTGTGGAAATATTAAGTAAAAATATCAACTTTGACTTTGATTCTTGGCACATAATGTGAATTTTTGCACAGCTTCCACAATATTATTCTTAGATTTATCATCACAGACTGTACTTACAGGTTGTGGACAAAATAAAAGGGATTCCATAACCTGGTTAAAATATCTCATAGTAGTGTTTTCTTATGAGTTTTTGTAGACTGTTTTTAGTGCAATCATTGTACAGTATCAGTGATGGAAAGACAAAGCAGTGAAAATATTTCCTTAAGAGTGAAAAACATTCAGTTGCTGCTCTAAAGAAAACAATTGCAGTGCGGTGATTTCAGTGTTTGTTTTCATTTCTCATTTTTAGCTGTATTTGACAGTTGGCAGCAAAAGGGAGACAACATCTGATGTCTGAGGCAGGACTCACACCAAGGACACTGCAGGTAATATGATTTGCTTCTCAAATAATTTACAACATGCATCCCTGAACCCTAGAAGAAACTGTCAATTTAATTCTGACCTCAGTCTTACCTTCCCACTCCAGCTCATTGCCATTGTTGATGAACTCCAGTGAGTCAGTCTCATCAGGAGTCTCGATGTCATCAACGTTGATGTCCAGGTCATCGGGCGTTTCCAGGAAGTCATCAGAGAGCACCGATCCCTCGCTCTGATCCAGGGAGAGGTTCATGTCAGGTGCAACCAGAGTACGACGCTTACGGTGGGCCATGGACTCGCCCACATTCAGAGTGGTGGGAGGATCTGAGCAGGCAGGCCAGGAAAGTTTAGATAGAGCTTATAGTAAAATAATATATTTAATGGTGGGTATTTATTCCACTTACTGGTCCTGTTGTCAGTGAGGCCACATGAGGAATCAGCATATCCATCCTCTGGTAGTGGCCTGCAGAGAAAGATGTATAATATACAGCGTAAATACAACGGAAACAGCGTAAATGAAAAATGAAATGACATCTAAAGGAATTGTAGTTTCTTTTTCTAATTGCTAGTTAGAAGCATTGACATTTAAAATAAATTGCTCTGATAAAAAAACAAAGTTTGAGCTGTCATTCATAGCATTTTCAATCTTAGCCTTTTGTCTCTGGAGTGTCTTTATTGTGATTAAACTACAGTGTGTCCTTGGAAACAATATGTGTTTTTTAAGAAAGTAACACCAGTAATTACCAACTCCCCTCTGACATTATAATAAGACAGCTGCACCCTCAGCACTGGGGGACCAGAAGGCTAGATTATAGTAGATAGCACTCATACAAACACACACACACACACACACACACACACACACACACACACACACAAATATACGGTACACAGACAGAAAGCCACAGACATTAACACAGACATGCATGCGTAGACAAACACACCCTTAAACAACCACAAGTATGGGCTAGCTGATGGAGCTGTTGGAATAATTGCTGTTATTATATTGTCAGCCGCTTTGTAGAGGTAAGTTAAAGACAGCACCAACAGATATTCAAGAGCGGATTAAACAATGGGGGAGGAGAAAAACAATTTGCAGCATAAAAGCATTCTTGTGTTTCTCTGTTTAACGCTGCAACTATATTCATTGTTATACATACAGAAATAATAAAAAATCTTCTCTTATAAATACCAAGATGATATGAAAGCAGAAAGATATGAAACATGTATAATTCTGTGTAATGTACTATATATAAATATGTTGTGAATATACTGGATGTCCTTGAATAACCAGTTTTCCCTGTAAATGTTTCACAAACACATTTCCTCTGCTGCTGAAATGATTCTGGACCCTGTGATGTGCTTGACTTCTCTTCTTTTTTCCTTTAAACTATCTGCTGTTTTATTCACTGACATGATAAAACCTCATCACATAACGACTACATCGAGGACAGAACACACCTGCCGACTGTAAGAAACACGTGACTAACTTCCCATTATAGCTGGGCCATTTTATCAAAGCTTGTGCACAAATCAGACAAACTGTATACACACACACACACACACACCACACACACACACACACACACACACACACACACACACACACACACACACACACACACACACACACACACACACACACACAAGGGATTACCTGGGGAAGTCCTCATCTTGCCACTCGTCCTTAACCTCCATGCTGTCCATGCGTAATGTGGCTTCTGCTGTACCCATCCTCTGCCAGGGAGGACGGGCTTCAGCTCACTGTGGTTGACAAACAGATAAAACAAAGTAATTCAGCAGGACACCAAGTGTTAAAACCCTGTTAAAACAAGCTGTACTTGTAGCTGTCTTAAAGGGGCTCCACCCGCTTTACAAAACCCTGATGATTTCATCAGGATTTTAGAATTTTAGCTTTAGACTTTAAACTTAAGACAGAAAGCCAGAGTTACAAACTCAAGGTGTGGAGTTTAAAAGATGTGGGTGTTCACCAGGCAGGGAGGGTTTAATAAAAGACACTATCCAGTTGTATTGTGGGAAATGTAGGAAAGTGGTTTTGGAGCTTGAAACATTCTTGGTACGAAAAAGTTTTGACCACTTTTTTTTATTTATCATCTACATCTCACAGGTCTAACACACTCATGGAAGCTATATACAGTATTACATTGTTGGACTACACTTAAATAGACCGATAAACAAAGACTTATACACAATATATAGCTTTCAGGAGATTTAATTAAGTGGTCGGGAGAGCTGGTAGAAAACACAACATCGGTGTAATAAAGAATCCAAACCTTAAAAAAAAGACTACAATCCCTAAAAACACTAGTGCTACTTTTCTATTGGTAATTCATGTATAATGATGTCATAATACATTTTAAAAAAGTGCCAGTGAGTTTCCTTTCCCTGCATCTCTAGGGAAAGAGACAAAAATAAAACATCACATTGCTCACACGGCCCCTCAGGGTGATACAAACAAATCATCCGTGCCGCCATAAAACAGATGGTGATCTGAACTTACACATTTTACATAATCAAATCAGAAATGACAGAAGCCTCCATCCAACAATACATGTCCTTTTCTTGGCATATGACGTAAAGCTCTACAGTGTCTTGTGATTGGGTGTGTTTTTGCAGGCTGTAATACGAGGGCAAGTCAAGCACAGCGTGAATATCATGTGCAAGTGTGCGTATGGGGGGAGGAGGAGTGTCCTTCCTACATCACTGTCCCAGCCAGAGTTCATGCTATAGCAGACGTTACCACCGTCCATTTGTCCACTGGGATGGCACTGATGTGCTCTAGTGAGACACATCAGAATCTATACTGGGGGGAAAAAAACAGCAAATGTGGGCTAAAAGGCAAAGGCACTCAGGATATGTTACTGGTGCTGCTGTGTTGTGAATGGATTGTAAATTATGGCAGAGAATGAATTTACACTGTATCATCCCATGAGAAAGTAGCAGTGTTTGATGTGAGCTTGATGGGGAAATTACACTTTTAGTCATATTCCTCTGTTCTCACAATCCTTTAAAAAAAAGCTTTCTGAAACAGATTGATCTTTTTTCACTCTAGATTAAGAATGAAAGGGGTGCGACTTCCTGAGAATAAAGTGGGAATTTCACACAGCAGATCAGTGCGTGGGGTTTGTTGTCTCCTGCGAAGGCTCAGCTGCTCATACATTGAACTGCTGATTGATGGACACGAAGTAATGTTGCAGTAGCACGTGTTTGGTAGGGATTTGAGTCCAGATGGCAGAGCAGCCTTCATTTCCCAAACACGAACTTGTGAGCCATTCACTGAACCAAACACCTAATAATCTGTCACAGAAATGGAAAACAAATAGCTGAGAATATTCAAGATACAGAAGCTATACTTGTGCATTATTTATTAAATATGTTTCAAGTCTCTTTCTTTGAGCAGTGAAGCAGTAGAGCTTCCACTTGAAAAAACTACCACAATGTTCTTTCCTCTACTGCGTTATGAAATCATTTGCATGGCTTTCAGATTGGAGATAAGCCTCAATAGAGCCACTGATGATAAAATGCAAGGTAGGGTGACATGTCACGATCGAGTACAGCCTCTCTCAACTTGTCTGATGGCAATATACAGTCGAGAAAAAAAAAAGGCCCAGATCAAGTGTCAATGTAACACTTGAAAACTTTTCTTCATCAGGACTGAATGGCCGTGATTTGTTGTGATCAAACAACTCAACAACTGTCATCAGACTTTAAAAAACAATTCCTGATTTGTACATGATAGTAACTGACCAAATGAGTCCTGTCCACTGAGAAGAGCACAGAGGAATATAAATATCTGCTGCCAAAAACTGTTGGCAGACAATAAAAAATATGTTCATGTAGGTAACTTGACTGAGAAATTATATTTTCAGGGCACGTGTGAGAGGAGGGAAGCTATTCTGTCACGACATCTTTTCCTTATTTGACAAAGGGAAACAGACACTCTCTCAGTGATTTGACTCATTGCAGCAGAATGAAACGAAGCATTAAATATCATGTCACTGATAGAGAATCTGCCCTGAAGAAAAGCACTACATCCAGCCAGACCCAGAAAAATCATGTCTCACGTAAAGGCAGGGTACTCACATATTGTTATAAGGAAGACTTCCTCTTCTCCGTTTTGAAAGCTTCCCTGTTTTGCTTTCAGATGCTCCTATTTCTCTTCTTCTTCCTCCTCCGTAGATCTGCCTGAGCAGAGAGTGAAGGTGATCACTGTTTACATCTGCAGCTTGGACTCAGGAGGTGTGCTCAGGACCTGGGCAGCGGAATGATTCTTGCTGGTTACTGATGCTGCGAATGGAGGTTGAGAGAGAAATCCTATCCTCCTGTAGACAGGAGAATGGTTAGGTGAGTGAGGGTCATCACAGAGCACAACGCCATCCTGCTCCCATCTTTTCAATCTCCTTCTGTCAGTCGCAGCCTGTGCTGCTTTTTGGACAAAAGATAATCCTCACCCTGCGCTTTTAGCTCGCCTCATCATGATCACTCTCCATCTCTTCCTCCCATTTACTTCTGCTCATCTCTGCTGAATCCCCCTCTGCCGCCTCCTCTCTCCACCAACACTAATGCCCCCACCCCTAGGCTCTAATCCTGCTGTGATGATGTCACCAGTATGATAGCTGTGTTATGGTGGTTATGTAATCACACCTTCCTACCTTCTCTTTGATTCTCTTTGGCTGCTCGGAGTCAGGATCAGCTGTTCTTCTTCTCCTCACGTTCAGTCCATTTTGCATCCATGATTTAACATGTTTTTATCCTGCTTTGAGCTGGAATAAATGGACAGTTCTACTTCACCGCTGTTCCCTGGCAACAGCATCTCTGTCCCCTTACACACAGTCTCTCTCTCTCTCTCTCTCTCTCTGGCTTTTTCTCACCATCTCTTTTAAGCTCTCTCACTCCTGATGAAACCCCTCCTCCAAATGAATTCCCCTCCTTTTCTCTGGCTCGCTGGCTGTGATGCTCACACCCCCTCCTTCACCTCCCTCCCTCCCTCTCTTTCTTTCCTGCTCTCCTCACAGCTGCACTGAGCTCTGGGTGATGTCAGTGGCATCTCTCTGACATTGCACTCATCGCCCAGAGGGAGCAGTTTCCTATTCTTCTCCTGCCATTGGCTGTTTGGCAGAATAATGCATTTCGGGTGTGTTTACAGTTTTCTATTAATAACGCTACTTTGCACAGCTCTAAAATGCTGCAACATGCCCAGACTTGTGACTAAAACCATTTGTTTCCCCACAGTTTTGGTGCAGTTGAGACAATGCCATGATTGTTTTAATTAACTGTGATAAATAAGTTAATAAATTATCTTGTTTCCAAAAAAGGCTTTAAATTGTGATTTATCTTATTTTGAGTACTATAGATCTTTGAGTTCTTTCATTGTCCAAAAACTGAAACAAATCTTTTAATGTTGTTTTATTGCCCTTTATTTTTTATAATAAACTATAAATAATCATGTTTAAGTTCCAGGCCCACCTTGTATTGTATTAACTTTCATAAAGTGCAGTACCATAAAGTACAGTTATATATTTGCATTGCCCATGTGTGCAACTGGGTCACTGAGATATTTGCATGTTAACTTTCCTGCCACCAGATGGTGGTAGAGTGTTCCCTATGAAAACACACATCTGCAGCACTACATGGAAGTAAACTGTGAGCCGGTCTACTCATCATGTTTAAGATACATGGGTTGGAATGACCTCTTGATAACCTCCTGTGAAGCCTGTGTTATATTTTACATGGTTAGTATATTTACCACCCTAATTCATGCACTGATTCCATAAAGTTATCTAGTATAGGGAGTATAGGACAGGAGTTGATGTTATCGGTGGTGTACCTCCAGAGAAGAAACAGATTTCAAAGAAATTTGGGCAAAATGGCAGCCAAAGGTTTTATCATGACACATAAGCATTATGGGGTCAAAAGAAAACACCAGTTATGGTATAAAGGCACAAACTGAATATTTTAATTAATAACATGCACACTCTATTTCCCAATACTGTCATCCTAATTTTATAAATGTTGTCCACTAAAGTTTAACATTTCATATCCAACATACTCTACATAGAAATATTCACCAAGCTTCCCCTGCAACGCTGCTCAAAGTGTGTTAATTCCTCCTGCTCTTCAAGTACTGTGGGTTATTGATACCAGCAGGAGCAGGGGCAGCTAATTCACTCCTAAACTCTGTTCCTCTAACATCTGATTCATCTAATTCTGCTTTTCCTGAAGATCTAAAACATGTTCCTGTGTGTGCTAAATTAATATCAACTACTATTGTATACTGGGTAGTAAAATTCACAAAGACAAAAAACAGTTTTTGTTATCATTCAGCAATAACATATCACACGAATCTTAGCCTTTGGAAATAGATGCTGTCTTGAAGCTCAGAGCTGAAAGCTCTGTAGCTCATGTCTGGACAGATGCTGCACGACACCCACGCCGATACAGTCACCCAGCACATTGGTGGTAGTCCTTAGACGATCCCTATCAACGAACATACAACAAAATCAGACTTATAGAATTACCACAATTACACACAAGTTTAGGGTGATTTCAAATTGTTAAGTTATTGGATACTGTTAAATTACTGTTAACCATGTAACAGGTGAAATCAATAACATTTGCTGGTATAGTTGAGAATGTTTTCATACATTTGGAGTTCTTTCCATTTAAAACAGAAAGCATGCATTTCTCTACTTGTAATTTACTCACTAACCTCCAGCTATAACTACATGCCAATCCCCAAACTTTACCCTGACCTTAAACTGTGAAACCTTAAACAGCCCGTAGAAGACGTGAAGATCAAATGATGGCCACACTTTCCAAAAATGTTCTTGTTCTCACCCTCAAAATCTGACATTGTGTACATATGCACTTACAGTATCCAATCAAAAATCAAGAGCAGCGATATGTCTTCAGTGGGTAGTCCAACTGACGCCAACACAATCACCATGGATACCATGCCAGCCTGTGGGATGCCTGCTGCACCAGTACTTGCAGCTGTGACGATCAAACTGAGCAAGAGAAACAGGCAACCCATTAACAGTGCTCTTAGGCTTGACCACACGTGTTGAGCAGTAAACTCATTATTGTAGTATTATAATATTACAATAACAATATTACTTCCCCCAGTAACTAGTAGTGTAAAAATATTTGTTCCAATATTACTTTTGTAAACTACTAATTTGAAATCCAATAATTTAATCACATCCTTAGACTAATGTTTGTAATCATGGAGGAAACTACACTGAAAAAAGTGATTCTGAGCATTTGTAAATATAACATTAATGAAATCTGTGGAATTAACAAAAAATAATCTCAGTTTGTATCTTTACATGAAAATGTATCGTTTGAAATTAATATGCATTTGTTCAAAATACAATATATTGTGTGTTTTTTCATTTACAAGCGTTATTTAGTAGTTATCCCAGTCGATCTTCTCAAGTACAAACACTCAACAAACAATAAACTTGAATAATAATAAACTCGACTGAACTTTAAGGTAAGAACAAATTTTGCCAAATAGCTGGTTATATTAGATATTACTGTCTTTTCAGTTTTCAGAATGATGTATGTGTTTTTTCCGTGTTCTGGCTTGTTTAGCCCGCCAGACTTTGTTTACTTGCTCAGATTTGGCCATTTTCCTGGTGTATGTTCTTCTAAACATGCTTCTACATGTGTAAATATGCTACGTAGTTAATAAATTTCGCTTTTGTCTGTTTTTACGACCGGCAGTTTGCACGGGGTATTTTATTTTGAAACCTTTGAACCTGAACTCTATTTTTCAAGCAGCTTTTCATGTACTGCCACAAGAGGCAGAGAAACCATGCAGAACTGGAAATTTCTTTACTACATTTTTAAATTTTGAGAGCTGCTGGATTTTGGTTTGTTTTTTTGCCTTATCAATGTATCTGAATGTAGCTGTGAATTTGAATGTAGCTGTTTTGAGCTAGGATTTCATTTCGTTATGGTGTTCTGACCTCAAAGAAAGGCTGTCAGTGGGGTTCTGATAGCATGTCTTATGCTGACGGCAATTATCCCTTCAGTGTTCATGACTCTGTGGAATGGAGTTCATATTTTATTGTCAAATAAATTTGTTTATTTGAGCTAAACAACTTCCAAGTCTTGTTTTGGGTTAAGATGCATAATTATACCTGAGATTGTTTGACTCATGTGGGTGTTGTTCATAGCATACAGTGTGATAAATCGATTTGTAGTTTGGTCCATACAATGTAAGAAGATGGTGAAAAATCAATCGCTGTTTCCCAAATCCCAAGACGCAACCTAGTATGTCTTGTTTTGCCCTGATCAACAGTCCACAATTTAAAATATTCACATCAGAGAATCTGGGATTTTTCTTCTTAAAAAAATGACTCAAAGAAAATTATCTAAATTGTTGGCAATTAATTTAGTTGTTAGCAACTAATTGATTAATCAACTAATTGTTGCAGCTCCTGTCTATTTATCAGCATGGTCAACACTTGGCTCCACGGCAGCATATCTTGACATGTGATAAGAGGATTGTCATTTCCAACACATAGATGACACATACTTAACTTTTTAAGTAGACCAAGCGTGATACAAAATATTGTGCCTGATCTACTTAAAAAAGGTAAGGCAACTTTTTGCATCAGATTATTATGTAGATAATGCAAGGCTAGTCTTTGTATAGGCTACTTAATTTCTTGAATGTAAGAAATGAGTTTTGGAAGTAAAGTAAAATATTTAATTTAGTAAGTAAAGTCAACTTAGCTTAATTAAATAGACTTTACTTATAAAGTTAAGTTCACTCATTTGCAAAACTAAGCTGACTTTACTTGATAAATTAATATTGACTTTACTTGCAAAACTCATTTCTTACACACAAGAAATTAAGTAGCCTATACAAAGACTAGCCTTGCTTTATCTACATAATAATCTGATGCAAAAAGTTGCCTTACCTTTATTAAGTAGATCAAGCTCAATATTTTTATCAATGTAGTTTGGAAGGTGGAAACGCTTTTATTCAGGGGCTGGGAATATTCACATTACTTTGATTCTAACAAACAAACAAAACTGGATTTTATTCATTATAAGTCTGAATTTTGAAGAGGACGGACAGAATTACCAATTTTGTGGGACAGTAATATAACTTACTTTTAGCAGGGAGTAATAAGTAAAGTAATGATATTACTTTTGCAAAGAGTGAGAATATGTAATGAGTACAAAACCGACTCAACTCTATGGGAACTACTCTTCTCTAAGGCCTGTACTTTTCCATTCCTTCCTATTTTAAGTCTTCAGTAACTCATAGAAACTTGGTAATGGCTAGTTGATATCTTCACAATCTCAGCTCACTCTCTTTTGAACATACCTAAGGATAATGATTTGACCAAGGTTAAACTCCATATTATTAACCTGGGCAATGAATAAAGCAGCTACAGCTTCATAGAGCGCTGCACCATCCATGTTCATTGTGGCCCCAATAGGGAGCATGAAGCGTGCCACTTGGGTGTCCATGTTGTCATTTTCCTCCATACAGTGGAGAGTGACAGGTAGGGTTGCAGAACTGTGAAGAAACAGAAAGAAAAAAAATCATTGTTCATGTGTCTGCAATGTGTTCTGTTTACTATCAAGACTCTGGCTCACCTTGATGAAGTCCCAAAAGCAGTGGTGAGAGGCTGGAGTAGACCACCTATAAACCTGAAGGGATTCTTACGTGTGACCATGAAATAGATGAGGGGCAGGGTGAAGAAACTGTGGATTATCAGGCCAATAATCACAGTGAGAGCATACATGGCAACTTCCCGACCTATCTCTCCAGGGTCTGCCATCTTCACAACCTGTCCTGCCAGCAGGAAGAGGGTTCCCACGGGTGAATACCTGTGATATAGAGGTGAGACACAGCAGAGAATAGGCAAGGAAAGAGGCTCAATGCCGGGGCTGAGTGAGCATATCCATATTTTAGTATATTCTCACAAGATTTCAGAGCTAGTGTGATACATCACCTAGGCAGTACATCACAAAAAATCAACCTTGGGCATGAAACAAACACCGGGACAGTTAATTATTTATCATAGCAAGTGCCAAAATCTTATCATAAAGACAGCATTTAATCAGCAATACAATTACAGAAATAACAGTAAGCACTAAGAGATGACTGTTGCTAGGCTCTTGTATTTGGATAGATATCAGCATAAAATTTAATTTAAATTTAAAAATCTATCTTTGTGATCTCCTCCTGTGCTTACCAGATGACTATGCTGACTAGACGCATCATGGCTTTATTCAGGCAGTCGAAGAAATCCCTCAGAGGTTTTCCCTCAGTCCCCATACTGCCCAGGGTGAGACCGAAGGCAACAGAGAAGACCAATACACCCAATATATTAATGCCATCTGAGGTGCCTGGCACTGGTACTCTGTCATCTGTAGGGGTCCCATGCAGGAATGTTGTTAAGAGTAGGTGGCGTAGTGACAACAACAACCAGGCAGACAACATAAGAGAATCTGGGTTAGACACACATTTGGTTTCGATCACAGGAATAGAAAGAAAAAAATAATCTCACTGTTTTCACTGGTTTCAGTCTCATTGATCACACCAAGACTTCCTGTTGAAACACTTCTGGAATAAACTGTTTTATACTGGATGAAAATAATTAGTGAATGATACTTGTTGTTAAGTATGAAACAGTGACGGTATGAATATATAACCAAATCATAGCCATAGCCAAATCTTACCTTTCTGAAACAAGCTTCAATCAGATTTGAGGGAATCATGTTTCTATAAATTAAAAATACAGATAAGGTGTTTTAACTATAATCTGTATAATTACATGTTACCGGTATATTTTGTACTGGAGGAAAAAATTCGGTTTCCTTGGAAGATTTTAATACATACCTGATAAGATCTAGAAAGGAATCTACAGTCTGCACAGCTTCTGCTTCACCACTAGAGGACACTGAAGCCGTCCTGGATGATTTCCCTGGTTGGATAAGAATTGCTAGGGCAATACCAGTGAATGCAGCAATAATTGTGGTGACCATGTAAAAGCTGAGAGCCCTTAGCCCAAGTTTCCCATAAGCCTTCCTGTCCACAGATGACATTCCTGAAATAAAAATAGGTGGCTGTCATAATCTTTAATAATCTCATAATAAACCTTACTGAACTCTATGTGAATAAAAGCTCATCAGGTTTGTTATGTAAAAAGAATCAGTTACTGCACACTGACTGAAAACTTTATATAAAGTGTTAAAAGCATTTTAGTCACTAGATATAGTTTCATGATGCTGTAATGATAATTACATACCACAAAACAATGGCTGATAGATGGATAAATAATGGGGAAACCTTACTGTAGATCTAGACTCAGCTCTACTGTACACACAGATTATGCTCCACTGACTGTGTCATTAGTCTTGAAGCTTAGTAATGCTTGGCCCAGTCAGTAGTGTGGCTACTGACTGTGTTTATGTACTGTGGTGATCATTATTAGGAAGCTATTACCATTTTTATGTGCAGATCTAACCTGTAATCAGACTGGATATGAGGAGAGGAAGCACCAACATCTGCAGGATTCTCATTAGAAGTTCTCCAGGAAAGGTTAAATATTTTATATCCCTGGTTGACATATTAATGGGTCGCAGAGCAAAGCCCAGGCCGATCCCTCAGAGAAACATAAACAAGAGTCAGCAAGTCAGTGCTATCAAAGGTTGAGTTCAGAATACCAAATAAAAAATAGTGAATACACAAAGCAGTGCTGAAGAAGTAATATATTAATACAAAGCAAGCAGCAGGTTGTAATTTGTCTTTACAATGATATAGTAGATTAAAAGGCAGTTTTAAAGTGTGTTAAAAAAAAAACACTTACCTATTGCAACACTGACCATTGTAAGAACAACAAAAGCATTTCTCTTGAGGAAAGTCATCACATTAGATCCATTTTGAGTGCAAGATACATGATCTGAGGACTTATTACATTTGTGGTATGTCTGGTTTCCCTGTGGTTCTGTAACCTCTACTGAGTCCAACTCAGACAGGTCATTAGGATTTAGCAGCATCTCTTTCACAATTAGTCCCTACAACCAGTATAGACTGCAGAAAAAGTCAGGAAAGAAGTGTCATTAATCATTCCTGTTTCAAAACACATCAAAACTATAATATACAATATGAAAGCAGGATAAAATTGTGATATTGCACCAATAGTTAAATTAAAGAGACCTTAAAAGTGCCAAATCACTACATTACATTAAATAATCCCATGGAAGTAACAAGCAAGTATTAAAAATTCTTACATTCTCGTCAGTCTAGTGGTAGTGATAGAAAAAAAGACTTAACGCAACTCCAGTCACCACAGTAAAGACAGCACGGTCAACAGGTGGGAAAGTCCAGTTATTTTTCTCTTGGCGGATTGACAACACTATGGCTTCACCACATTAATCATCACCTTAGTCTGTGTCCTGTCTGTGCCTTTTCCCCGAAGTCATATGGAAAAGGTTAGTGTTTATATTGAAATAAACAACAATAATATGAATGAATATGAATCAGGACAAGTTCTGTAAAGTGGTGTAGTTTTTCAAAAATAGTTATATTTCTACATATTTTTCTGAAGGGTAACTGGCTCATCATTGGTTAAATGTGCTGCTTCTGACGAACCTCCAAGTGTTTGAGGAGGGAGGATAGTGTGACACAGAAGTAGTTTATTTAGGCATAATTTGGCAAATATGCTTCAGGCGTTTACTGTGTTTAATGAGTCTGACGTCACTCAACCAATCAGATATCAGATCTGGAACTGCCCATTTTACAAAAGCCTCCTTAAGTTAGACAATTTGGCTTCAGTCCACAGAACAGGAAAATAATCTAAACAGATCTTCTGTAATTAGATGATCCTAAATCCTACAGGATTAATGTCCAGAGCCTTATTAGTTCTGTGTTAGGGACAGAGATTTTAGGTCACAAAGGTGTTAAGTCCATAGCGTCCCTAAAATACATAGTCTTAAGAGGACGATATATGGTAGTAATAGTGGACACAAGAGCTGATCAGCAAGATTTTAAGTATCTTACAGCTTCTTGAGTCCCTTTAAATCACAAATCCACTAGGAACAAAGGTCCCATCAGGACATACCAATGATCCACAATATATCCATTACCAGGTTAAGACTTTATGAATGACTCTAAAAGGATTATACTGATACAGACAAATGTTTATGACTTCCTAAACGTTTGGTCGTACCTGATCAATATATAGTGAAAGAACAAAAATATTTTTTAAACGCAAGCATTGGTGTTCAGTAAAATAATGGAGGCAGTCTGGGGTGTGTTCAATATGAAAATGAAAGTTTGCACAGTAATGAGAATCAGGATAATTCAGGTGCTAATCAACATCCTTTCTCTTTATAATAAGCAAAGGTAAGTGTACAAAACATGCTAGCAGCTTCTCATTTTTTGTCGGTGCTGTGCATCACTTTCACCGATTATAAATCTGCAGCTGATGTAACATCAGCTGTCACTAAGTAATGTTGAATCCGAGATCAACTGTTTGTTAAAGTGCTCTCAGCTGGTGTCTATACTACACTACTATACACTACTACTATCTATTGTTGAGTGTTTTAGTAGTTCCCACAACTTCAACAGAGTGATAACATATCATATCAATAATAAGCTTTTAAATGTAACTGTGGGGCCTTCAGTATTTGGATCAAGTAGCTCATGAAAAATAAAGTGCGCCAAATTTAGTCGTCAACAGCCATGATTTAAATGTGTCAAATACATATTTAATCAACATTTTGGTAAATATAACAAACTAAATGACTCAGATCAGGATATGACCAAAAAAACAAACAAACATGTCCTACGATTGCAGGGTCTGACATACTAACAGTGAGGTTTGAGTGACTGACAGCACTACAAGAAGGAAGCAGGAGGAGGAGGAGGAGGAGGAGGATGGTACCAACATCTTCCAGTTAGTGGTACTGTTCATTCTAAGGACATCCATTCTAAATAATAAAAGCATGAACTAAACCCAAGTGGGACCGGTGTCCATATAACAGTATTTCATAATTACAAACTTCTTTTGTGGCTATGAATTTTTAAACTGTGTTTATTACCACATTATCCCACATCTACTTTTTAGTTATTAGTGCTGTTTTGTGAGGTAGACAGCAGTGGCCTACATCTTGAGGGTCTATCCTGATACATCTTCATGACAAGGTAAAGACTTTCCATTGTCTTCCAGTTATGAGCTAAGCTCTTTAGCTCATATTGACACAGTGTAATCATCTTGACACACAATAGCCACGGTTTCAATTTGGGAAGTTTGAATAGCAACCAGCTCCTGTTAATAATCTGATTTTTTTAGTGTTACCCTTCACCCATCCACAAGCCCACGGCTGTCTTTTCCCCTTTCCTTGTAGGACTGAATAACATATATTTGAACTGAGTTATGGAGTACTACCGAGTTCCTCGTGAATCAAATGCTGGGTATTAAATTGAAGAGTTTTACTGGAAGATGAAGACGAAGGTAAAGCAGGAGCAGATGGAAAGAAAAACATCAGAGTCCAAAGGAGTATGAGGAGTATCAGAAGCAGCTTGAGGAAGAAAAGTGAGTAAGCAGAGATAGTAATACCGCCTACAGTGCTTAAAATAACGTATGGCTGGTGTAGTACTGAACAGGATGTCCTGCTTTAAAATGGTTAATCCGTGTGTGCTTTGTCAGGATGTATGTACACATAAGAAGAAGGAAGGACCTTGAATTACATATTAAAATGCCTAAATGTTCAAGTGTGTGTCCCTGGAAACATTTTACACAATAGATAACACTGAGTTGTATTATTTTATACACAAAAGTGAGTGTAATTAATGTTAGATTGTTTATACTAAATTGTTGAGTTGAAAGTGGCAGTAAAGAGAAAATATGACCTACATATCCATTAAGCAGGGATTAGCAGGTGTGATTAGTATTACTTAAAGTAGGCTCCCACTTCATGTTTGTCTGAGAGACACAGATGTAAACACAGACATAAACTAGACAAAAAAAGTCTTACACCTTCACATGACAGTGAAGGAATGATACAGTATTGGTATACAGCACAGTACACCCAGTGACACGGGGTGCCTCTGCAATGTGGATCATGTTGGTGGTACTAGAAATAAACTGGTGGGTTTGCATTTCCCAGGTATGATTCATGGCTATTACACAGAAGCCTTCATCTGTGTCTTTATGTATCGACACTGGTCAATGATGTTGAGTTTTCAGTCATATAATTACAACATTTTGAGAAAACTGCCAATATGACATATGAGAAAACACTGGCCTTTTTAAATTAAGCTGCTGTAACTGAAATGGAAGAAAGATTAGTTTAGGCCTGTTAGGTTAGACACTTATATAATGCTGTCCAGTACAACATCACCATGTTTATTGGATTGTATTAGATTGCACAGGTACCCAATAAACTACAGTGTATTATAACTGGTGGTTTCCTGACTCTGCATCATCAGGTATCTGAGTGATACCTGACGTTATAGTTAACTCTCAAATGACAAAATACAAAGATTTGGTTTGGTCTTCACTCAGTCTCAAGCTGACTTGAACTTTGTCTTGACTGTGCACAGGCTTTCATTTGTTTTAGGTCATAACTATTCATTTGTTACAGTGGATGGAAGTTCACAGAGAAGGATTTCAATCCATACAAGCAAATCCTTACAGATGGAGTATGTTTCAGTATCTGTAATATTTAATTGTCAATATAACAGAACAATTCCTTGATTAACAAAATTACTTCCCAAATACACAAAGGTGAATTCTATTAAACCTAAGTCTTTCTTAATCTATCACAGTGTATATTATTGCTATAATAGCTTATCAGATAACATGAAGTTGATTTCAGTTTTTTTTTATATATATAAGTGTGTGGGTGTGAATTAGGCAGTTGGAACTTGTTTGCCTGTGTGACAACGTGTAATACTTGTGTGACATCAACGGACGTGAGTGAGGCTTATAAGGTAGCTTTAGGTGGGGGTTTATTTCCTTGGGGCTCAAATTAGCCAGAGAAGCAGATTAGGCTCCGTGTGTAATAACTTGTCAGGGCTCAATTTCAAGAAGCCACCATTAAACACATCTTGTAGACAGTGTGCTTTAAAACAATAATTATTTAATCACCTTACAATGTTAGGTAATGCTGAAGGTAATGGCATTAAGGTCTCATTGTCCAATTGAAAGTGTGGCAGCCTGTTTAAGACTTGTTATTTCTTTGAATTCAAGTGGAATAGGGTGTTCAATAAGACAGTTTAAAGTTTTCCATTTAGAAAGTTTATTTGAAATTATTAAAGCTATCCATCAGACTAGAGTGTAGTAAACGTAAAAAAAAAAAAAAAATGTTAGTCTGCATATAATATTTCACAAGTTTAACACTTGTTTGAATTTAATTCTGCAACTAATTAAACAAGACATGTCAAAACTAGGGCCTGGCTGTTAAAACAAGAGATTACTTCATTAAGCTATTAAGGATAAGCTACACGTCGTCATTTTACTTAATGTACGTAAGACACAGTATCTAGGTCTTGGCTGTCACAGTTTCAGTACATCCACACTGGGCAGAAAATTCTGAAATTGTTCGGACTACAGAAGATCCACTGAGCAGGAAGCACAAACCGGTATCTCAGTAAATGCTGTGATGGTCTTTGGGTACAGATGACACAGCAGTGTAAGGAAATAGGGTGAAAGAGCGCTGTCCTGGCCAAGATGTCAAGTAACCGCAGATCCGTGTCAAGCTGCAGCTCTAAGTGCTGCTAATCTTATTAAAAAGAGGGTCAGGACCTGGGCAGACCACCCTTAAATAGAAATAGGTTGAATGTGGAGATTGTCCTATAGCACTGATGACGACATTACTGCAGGTACTGGGCTTATAACACAAATGACATTAGTTCAGTCTTTTAGAATTAGGACAGACAGGTAAATCTGGGTTTAGGAAGTGAATAAGTAACTGTTTATTTTCTGCCTAAATTAAATTAGCCAAACCCCACTTTCCAGTGCTGAGCAACCCCTAGGCATTTTATCTATTTATGGGGCCTGATCTAATATAACATTTTCTTCTTCTTCTTCTTCTTATTATTATTTTAAGAAAACAACTGTCTACTATTCTGCCAAAACAAAATAATTAACCCAAACCTACACCAGGGTAACATACCTTAACCTTAACCAAAGTAATGTGACTGTAAAGGAATCTAATGTTTTCCCTTGCCAACAACATTACTGTAACGTGGTAATGCTGCTGATGACAAGACTGTGATCTGAAGCTTTACTCAAAGCCACCTGCTTCTCTGTCTACCCTTTAACCTTTTAATACACTGTCCTTATGCTAGGACACATTGTTTGGGCTAAGGCCTCTTGGATACAGAGACATAGGACACATTCAAATGTGCAACAATGTTCATATAATCATGTAAACAATAAATGGATTGTATATTGAAGATAGAAAAAATAACAATTTCGCTGCAGAGTAATATTGCATTTAAATTCCTCTTTAATAGCATTAATAGTATTTTAGCGAACATTCAAGTTTCTTCATCCCATATATTTGTTTTATATTTTCATATTATTACTTAATTCATTTTATGTATTACAGTACAAAACATTGTATTCCACAAATGACTCAAATACAAACAGGTTAAAGAGGTTAGAGTTTAAGATAGAATTATTAACCATAGGTCAATTAAGGTCCTAATCGGGATGAGTGGAGGGAGGGTTAACTCCATTGACTATTATGACAGACCAAAAGATTAAAAGATAAAGTAACTAAATGCCCCCAAGATTTTTACCTTGCTTAATGAGTTTGTCTGCATCAGTTAGAATATTAACAAAGCAGGCTTTGAACTAGCTTAGAAGTAGGACAAAAATATTAAATAAATAGTAAATATACATCCACTTCAACTACAGTATCGTCTGTTCACCCTGTGGCTTGTATGTGCACCGTGCAGGATTCTGAGTTGCTTGTACCTATAAAACATAAACGGTTAAATCTAGTTTTAAACATTTTACCCTGACACCTGCCTCTCCCCTCTGTTACTTGACAGTCAAATTAGATTACTCGTGTTTTAGTTAATGATTAAAAAATAAATCAAATTACATATATTTTGACATTTATAGCCATGTGAGATATCCTTAACTGACATTTAAAATTCTGAGAATTAAGTTTAAAGTGAGTAAAGGTTTTTAAGTCCTGTAAAAGGAAAAAAAGGGATCCTGTTTCTAAGTGGCTAACACAAAATGATCATGAACCAGCACGTCTACGACTGTACAGGATGTGACGGAGTCAGCTTTTTCTTCACATTTCAGCTCAAGCTAATCACATGACCAGTCTCTCAGCATTTTACCCTCCCTTTCCATCATCTCCCTGTCATCCCCCTGCTGGTCACCATCCCCCTTTCCCCCTGTAAGCTGACACAGCGCCTTCAAACATTAGCTGCTTTCTTCCTAATAGGATCTCCGAGGCTTAAATTGTCATCTGATAAAACTAAGGAGCTTGATAGCTATGCTGCACCCTCTTAACCAATTTGTACTCAATTAGGATAATGGGGAAACAAGCAAAGAGGGGACAGCTTTAATATATTAATGTGATAAAATGATTATCAATTTCCCTTGCCGACGACCTGGGTGGTATTAAGAGTATCTTGCAAGTCTCATATGAATATTAGCCATTCATAACAGTAAAGGTCATCAGAATTATTTGAATTAGATCTAAGAATGTGTTCAACATTATCTGCCAACAGTAGCATAACATTTCCAAGAACAAATGTCCAAACACAAATGTAAGAGCAGGCCTTTGAATTATTTATTATAGATTAAACTCCATGTAGTCATTTCAAGGCCCCTGCACACACTGTACATGCAGGATTGGCTCCTTGTTAGAACACTACTTTGACAATATATTTGATTTGTGAAACCAACAGAACTGAAAACTACCAGTCATTTAAAACTGCTTACATGTGATAATACCTTCTTAATTAAGGAATAAATTAGTGAAGAAAATAGGCTGTCTTTGCATCCTCTTTTGTTTTGGTGCATGTATCAAGTTGGAGAGAGATGGCTCTGCAAAACTCTCCTCAGGCCTGACTTTCTTTATAGTCACCATATGTCAGCAATCTACTTGGCAAATCCCTGCCATGAGGGATCTCTAAGATCTTTATTTCATTATTCTAGCAGCAAAGCTTGTTGCTCACAGGCAAAAGTAATGGGCTTTGTATTCTCTGCTTCTTGGAAAATAACCCTGTCAACCAAGAAAAGGTGTTCAGGCAAAGCCACTTAAAACCCAGCCATTCTGCACGTAGAAAGCTTTGGCCATGCAGCCTAGTGTTGCCAGATGGCTTTAAACTTGTTAGCTTTTAAAGTTCCTCAGCTGCTTAGACATGTGCCAATCGTGCCAACAAGTGTTAACTCTCTGTGCATGTCCGTGTCTTCTAGAGGATAGTGTATCCATGGATGGGAGCCCCTTGATAGCTATGCTGCAGCCTCTTAACCAATTTATACTCAATTAGGATAATGGGGAAACAAGCAAAGAGGGACAGCTTTAGTATATTACCATGATAAATTATCAATTCCCCCTTCCTACGACTTGGGTGGTATTAAGAGTATCTTAATATGAGCCATTCATAAAGTGGGCAAAACAGTAAAGGTCATCAGAATTATTTGAGTTCGATCTAAGAAAGTGTTAAACATTATCTGCCAACAGTAGAGTAACATCTCCAAGTGCAAATGTCTAAATACAAATGTAAGAGCAGGCCTTTAGACTTATCAAATAGCAATAAAAAAATATTTATTATAGACTAAACTCCATGTAGGTGTGTCATTTCAAGGCCCCTGCATAAATTGTAAATGTGGTATCATCTCCAGCCCCCCACCACCACCACCAAGACCCTGCAAAGGATAGGCATGTATAGATGAATGATAGATGGAAGGATGGATGTCAAAATGTTTGCTGGGTATGTTCACTGAAATTTAAAGTGGGTACTCCAGTGATTTAGTATTGCACTTCCATAAATCAAAACAGAAGCAGCACAGGCCAAGATATCAACTCTTTTTGTCCCTTGTATGGGTTAAGCAGCAAAAACCCTGGAGCCTACATTTCCCACAATGCAACGTGATAATATATTTATATTAGAACTCCACCTGCATACATGTAAAGTACCACATCTTTCAAATTAACCATGTCTAATTTGTATTGGTTTTCTTACAGGGAACAGAATTTACTGAGTGCGTACTGCTGTATTATTATTATATTTTTAACGAAATAAACATTTCTTGGCAACAGCTGGATGTACTGAATTACTCTTCTTATCATTTGGATCACTAATTAATTATCCTCTCAATGTTTTGCCTAGCTAGAACAATATTTTGACGATATATTTGATTTGTGAAACCAACATAACTACCAGTCATTTAAAACGGCTTGTGTCTAATGTGAGAATAACTTATTAATTAACGGATAAATAAATGAAGAAATTAGGCTGTCTTTGCATCCTCTTTTGTTTTGGTGCATGTATCAAGTTGTAGAGAGATGGCTCTGTGAAACTCTCCTCAGGCCTGACTTTCTTTATAGTCACCATATGGCAGAAACTTACTTGGCAAATCCCTGCCATGAGGGCATCTCTAAGATCTTTATTTCATTATTGTAGTGCACAAAGCTCGTTGCTCACAGGCAAAAGTAATGGATGTTATATTCTCTGCTTTCTTGGAAAAGAACCCTGTCAACCAAGAAAAGGTGTTCAGCCAAAGCCACTTAACCTACAGCCATTCTGCACATAGAAAGCTTTGGCCATGCAGCACAGTGTTGCCAGATGGCTTTAAACTTGTTAGAATTTAAAGTTCCTCAGCTGCTTAGACATGTGCCAATCGTGCCAACAAGTGTTAACTCTCTGTGCATGTCCGTGTCTTCTAGAGGATAGTGTATCCATGGATGGAAGCCCCTTAATTGGATCTTTAATACATGTCAAATGGTATTTAAATCTTTTTAAATTTTTGAACTTTTACCATTCTCCTATTTCATGTAATAATTGCTAGCAGCATATGATGAAAAATATGTAATTTATCAGCAAACTGTGGGGTTTTAAAGTAAGTAAGTTAGTTAACTTAATATAATAAAACAGTAAGTATGCTCTTGTGGTGCTTGGTTAATGCTTGAGATTTAATTAAATGAAAAACACATAAATCTGCATAACATTTGTTTTTTATGCACCACTTCTGTCAGAGTTTTTGTTTGCCCTGCAAAGAACTCCTAAATATAGCTTCAGATAGGAGGAGTGAGGTCAGAGGAAATCTCTAGTGAAGTCTTTAGGCTCATTAAGGTTGGGATTGATCTCTGCAACACCTACTGTAGCTGCCACAGCTTGGGTGTGCCAGCTGGCATAGGAGAAACTTGCAGGCTGCAGAATAAACACCCCCAATGCCCCGAACCAATTCTACTGTGAACTATCAGAGGCTGAGCAACAAGACTTTTTGTAAAAAAGGTCATCTTATTTGTTGTGTATTCATTTAACACATGTAAACAATATGATTGTATGTCACAATTTTAACAGAAACATTTGAAGGGATAACGACTGGGTTGACACTTATTACACTAACTGCTTCTCTAGACCTGTGCTTCTTCAACTCATTACAATTTTGGCTTCTGGTAAGTCCCCCCAGTATAAACATAGAAAATGCAGCATCAGACATTAGATATTTCTAAGTTTGTATTATTAAAAGGTGCAACTTATTAGTTGTGTACTATTCAGAGTAACCTTTTACAATTACATATATTTAGTTTAAATGGAGTTAATAATACAGTTGGAAACCATTATATCATTTTTATTCCAAAAGCAATGCTGCTCATAAAGAATTAAGAGCCTTCTTAAATGAAACTATTTTTCGAATACAAGTCTTTACAGTGTTTAACCATTCAAGTTAAAAGTCCATCTCTGTGTCTTTTCTCCCTTACATTGTCTATAATGAAGGGATTAGCGAAAACTTTCAGTACGAGCCATTATCTTTCAGACAATAGATTATTTGAAAGAAAGTTTTGTTGAGGCTTCATTAGCAATGGCCTCCCTCTGTGGTCTGAATGCAGGACACATTTGGAGCAATTACTTGACCAGAAAACAACTGTCAGTCATTCTTAAAGGGGAAGGATTCCAATTAATAAACCTCTTAGACCCCTTGGTTTTACGACCATTGCCCCACAAGCTTTGGTGTCTTGTTTGGTTAAGGAGAGTTTTGTCAAGAGAGAAAGACATTACATGTGCTTGTTGCACAGGACTCCAACAGCTCATTTGCTCACTTGTGTGTGGGGGATTTCAAGGACTTAGCTGGGAGTAACAAGTGCCTACAGTAGATACCGTTAGTGTCATTTGTCTACTTATGGACTACAGAGACACCATGCGCGTAGCATAGCCTGTGCTAGGAACCTGAAGGAAGGTAAGATTACTTGATGTACTTTCTTACTGTGATTTCAGTCAATTATGGTATTTATTGATGTATGGGTTTCCATTATGCTCATTTTTATTCAAGTAAGAGATACAAATATGAGTGCAGTTTGCCTTTTGATGCCTCTCAAGATATTGTCAAATGTCTTTGGGTAGATTCTCTACCAACTATAATAAGATTCAAGATTCAAGATTCAAGAAGCTTTATTTATCCCAAGGGAAATTACTGAGCAACAGTTTCAATACAAAGGTTGGAAAGCAATACAAGGTTAGAGTAAAAATAAGCTAACATAAAACATAAAATAAAATTTAAAAAATAAATAAAATAAAATAAATAATAATAATAATAACAATAATAACTTGGTGAAATTTCTTGGCATAAAAAGGGAAGATATTCACACTCACTATTTAAAGTAATTTGTCATAATAATCTAAACAAGGAAACGGGTTTGCTGCACTAGGATCTGATTTCCACTACAACTCTTACATTACTTCTTAAATGTTAGAGCACTGCTTTACTGTCTTTTTTCTCTTCTCTCATTCCTTTTCAGACAAAGATGTGAGTTTGTTCTTCTTTTGCATAAACAATACATTCAGCCTCACTGACGAGGTCCTTGAACGATACGGCCCACGCGTGTCGCATACAGTGAATCTGCTCCATTCCACGAGAAGGAGAACAAACGCTGTGTAGAACAACTACTCTGCCTCGTCTCGCTTGGTAGAATTTTGCTTTATTTTGAAAAGAAGAGCTTAAGTGTCTCCAAAGGCTCGGATGCATTTGTCAATGGATACTCTGGGAATAGTGGACGATAGTTGCCTGGACAACTATGACATGGCAAAAGGTGCTGGGTCAAGTGTTGGGGGCAGGGTCCACAGTATCGACGTCATACTGGGATTCACTAAAGACAAGGACCCTTTGCTCCATTCGGTAGGAGATGATGACAGCCAAAAAACAAACATAGAAAACCCACAGCACCCTGAGAAGCAGGTACCGTCAGACCCCTATGGACACCTTCCAGAGCTGGGTGACAGCTCCCAACATTCTTCCTACCACGGTGAGTCTTTTCAAAAAGTATCATCAGTCAGAAAAACTCTCTCATACATTTTTTCAGGATCAAGGATTAATTTGGTCTTTAACGGTGCAACAAGTTGAATTAGAGCTGTACTAAGTTTGTCCCGTTTAGTCCCACACAGTTTTATTGAACTACATATTGAACCAGTGCCATTCTGCATAGACATTCAATGTCACCTTTTAGCAACCACTTTCATGATGAGTTATTCACTTATTTGCAATGACAGTGATGTGAAGTAAATGTGATAACTTGTACTTTAAAGCCTTCAATTTGCAAAAATGAGCGAAAACGGCGGGGCTTTTGGTGAGTGGAAAAGGAAGAGCATAATACTGAAGTGAAGCGCAATCATGTGCTTCTTTCTAAAGATAAAACGTACCCCAGTCATTTCTCGGAAATGCTATTTTACTGGACTCTCACATCTACAGTAAAACAACAGAGATACGAAAGCCAGCCAAAGGAAAATTCATAAATAACAAATGGCTGATAGCGTCCAAGATAACGTTACCTTTGCTCATGAGTGCTTACCATATCACAAATAGACTCTGTGTCTGTATTTAATCTTTATAAAGCTTAACTAATTGCAATAAGAAAATATATTATGGCTGCACCTCAACTTTATATTAAAGGTCCAGTGTTTAACATTTAGCAGGATCTATTGGCAGAAATGTAATACAATATTCATAGGTATGTTTTCATTCTTGTATAATCACCTGAATATAATAATCCTTGTGTTGTTGTCCACCACGTTGAACTGCCATGTTTCTACGGTAGCCCAGAATGGACAAACCAAACACTTGTTGTATATAGGCCCTTTTGCATTTTTTCGCAAGTTTCATGACCACTGTAGATGCAGTGGTCAGTTAGTTGCAATCTGAAACTTCACTGCTAGATGTCACTAAATCCTACACACTGGTCCTTTAAATACAAATAAATTGAACATCTTTCAGTTTACAGCCATTTCCCTGTAACATGTCATTCTTTCCTTCTCTCACTACTAATATGAATAAAGGGTACATGCCAGGGTCCTGGTATCAATGGCACATCTATATGGAGGAAAGATAAGATTAATGTAATTAGTTATTGTACACCTTTGCTCTTCTCGCTGTGTGTGAGAGAGGTCCAATCAGCTTGATATATTTTCTATCTTTGGTAACTTCGGGATGGTGAGCAAATTTGAAATAATGTTCAGTGGATCAGAGCAATTTGTCCAGCATTTGTCCACACAACAGGCCTTTGTAAGTATGGACCCACTGGTGGGTCTGGCAGGAAATAAGGGTTTAAGAAGCCAGTGAAATTAGCCTTCTGCAGGTCATTACTACCTACTGCAAAGCAGCTACACTTATTAAGGTATGCTGTTTGATACAAACTTCAGCTTTTGTTCACTTTGTTTTATAGACATTGGCATGCCCATAAACAACTGCAGCTCACATTGTGCCTGAATGTGGCCTGCTGATACAATTCCACATGCCTCCTGTCAACACAAGAGACACAATGTAAAGAAAACATGACTCTGAATAGAACCTACTAAAGCTAAGCTATGCTTGATAGCTGAATATATTAATGGTATATTGACATAGCTACAAGGTATGTGAACGGTACAGTACAGGAGCCACAACAGACAAAAGCCAATGAGTGAGCTACAACTGAACAGGCCAGACTGTGGAGGACAAACAGATGGACAGTGGAGATTTCTGTACCTAATATACACTGGGAAGGAGAGATTTGTTTCTTTGAACAATGTAATACTGTTTTCTGATGTAAAAGGTTTTTTCTAAAGCAAGACTTTCATATGAGCCCTGACAGAAAATTAGATTTCTTTTAAAGGTCTGTCTGCTAGATTTGCAGACTACACACCTCTATGAGGGTGCTTAATGCCTCTAACATGTACGGATATAATTATATGCCAAAGCTACAGAGTTCACCATGTTACAGTAAGGATGACACACTTTAGATGGGATATTGCTGATCTGGAAACACTTTATTTTTCCTTTCAGCAGAAAAGAATGGCAGCAACTTTTGATTTTTTTGATCATCCCTTACTCGTGGCTTGACCTTTAAAACTATCATGCTTTAAAGATCTCACTGTACACTGAGCCTTTGTTGCTTGGCATCATTATTTCCAATGATCTGCTGACCATATTGCTACAAACAATTTGGTATATGAACAAGCTTTGATGCATCACACACACACACACACACACACACACACACACACACACACACACACACACACACACACACACTTGCTCTACTGTACTATCTATCTACTGTTTGTGCAGAAGCCAACTAAAGTCCCATTAGAGGAGGTGGGGGCTCGTAGATTTAAGTGGTAGCATCTGTTACTATGGGATTACTGCAAGGGAAGAATTCAGTGAAAGACGTGATGTAATTTGGACTTGCCAAACCCCTGGTGTTTATAAGCTCTCAAATGTATAAAGGGCATCAGTCATTAAGCTCTTTTAACATGATGAGAAAAGTTTAGATTTCACTTTTTGTTTGGGCTGTTTATTACATTTATTTTGGAATTACCAACACATAAGCAAAAATGTTTTCCTCCAGTAGTAAAAGACAGCACACCGTATATTAGATCAGGGATAAGTGTTTGATTGTTTGTGCGTGTGTGTATCTGTCACATATTGCTGGACCCATAAGCCTGAAAATATTATTTGTGAATGTTTCGGAGGTTATTTAGGTTTGAGTGATTCACAAGTTTTGAAAAACTATTTCAGGATCGGTCAATATCTAATGTTGATTCATGTTTTGTGTTCTTCTACACACCCAAAAGGTCCCACACACAGTCTAAAGTAAAGCAGGCAAATCCTGAGCATCATCAGAGCTGTCTAAAGAGTCATTTCAGAAGCTAATGTGTGCTGAAGCTATGTTCATTTCAAAATGTATTTCATATGAATAAATATTGATCAAATTGTCTTCACCAAGATTCACTGATATGTCATTTAATTCTCTTGGCTGAGAGGTTTGTTTTTGTAGTATTAGATGTACACTGGTTGTACCTCTCCAAGAGCCTTAATTGCTCCATTAGCTCCACCATTCTCAATCTGTCCTAGCCAAATAAGATTTGTCAAGATGGCACTGTTGCCAAAATCAAAGGACTGCTTACCGGCTTAACACCAGCTGCATGCAAGTCGGTTGTTTCAAATGTTACAATCATTTCTGATGTCTGAATCTTACACACCTTGCTATGCATCCCGTCCTTCATTTTAGAATCTGACCTCTTCTCCGGTGACAAGAGCGATGAAGAAATGAGCAACCTGCAGAAGGAACTGGATGTTGCCGAGGGGTCCCCGGAGGCCATCAAAGAAGAAGAGCACACTAAAAAGAAGCACAGAAGAAACCGTACCACCTTCACCACCTACCAGCTTCATGAGCTCGAGCGAGCCTTCGAGAAATCCCACTACCCCGACGTCTACAGCCGTGAGGAGCTGGCAATGAAGGTCAACTTGCCTGAGGTTCGAGTTCAGGTAAGAACTATGTGAGATGCTAATGGCGTACTACTGAAAAGAAAACTGCAGTTAAATTAAGTTATAGGCCTCGTTAGGCAAAACATATTGAACAATTTATCCTACACAATACCACAATTTATTCATCAATGCATTAGTAAGTTGTCCCATCCGTCATTTCACTCCCAGCAGCAAAAACGGTTCTTGAAATGAAATGGAAATTATTGTGGACGTCAAATACATTTGAAAGTTTCCGTCTCCTGCACCACGTAGTGGTAGCATCACTGCAATCGTCTCATCTTCATTTCTCTTTGTCCAGGTGTGGTTCCAGAACCGGAGGGCCAAGTGGAGGCGTCAAGAGAAGATGGACACTAGCACAATGAAGCTGCATGACTCTCCCATGCTATCCTTCAATCGTCCCCAGATGCCTCCTAACGTGGGGCCAGTGGCCAACCCGATGCCCCTAGATCCCTGGCTGACCTCGCCCATCTCCGGTGCCACGCCTATGCATACCATCCCGGGGTTCATGGGTTCGCCACAGGGCCTGCAGCCTGCCTATCCAAGTCACAGCTTCCTCAACACCCCACCCGGCATGGTTCAGGGTATGCAGCCAATGGGCCCTCCTCCCTACCAGTGCTCACCCAGCTTCAACGATAAATACCCGATGGAGGACGACAGGAGTTCCAGCATCGCAGCCCTCAGGATGAAGGCCAAAGAGCACATTCAGTCAATGGATAAAACCTGGCAGCACATGTGATCTGATGAGCCACTGCGGACAGATGTTTGAGCTGCTCCCCGTGAATGTTTACAAACTGCTTTTCCACTGTTTGTTTCGCGTACCAGTAAAGAGGGTACATGACACCAAAGGGGTCTGATATTTTTTCACTGACGTTTAAGCAACTTTGAAAATTAATACAAAAGTTTTTTAGCCTCAAATCTATGGGGGTTGTTTATTTTGGTTTAGCTCAGAAGGTTTAGAAAAATACTTGTTTGAGTACAAGAAAATCTTCAACCTGAATGTTTTAACACTTGTGTCAACAGTAATTTTGTATATTTCAGACAGATTTCAGACAGTACTGACAAACTGCAATATAGTATATGAGAGGCTAAGTAGAGCCATGTGGTCAGTAGTAGCAACATTTTTGTATTTGGACTTACTTACTTATTACTTGATGAGAAATTTAAAAAAAAATGTATACAAGTTGGTTGTCTTAATTGTCCTTTTTTGTGGAAGTAAGATATTTTTATTAAAAAAAAAAAAAAAAAAAAAAAAGCAATACTGACCCTACTTCTGTCTACATGTACCTGTAAGATGTTCCTGCTCCACTAAAGTGAAAATATCTTCATGAGGATTATTGAACTTTGAGGACATTTGCTGGCATCTAAACTGAATTTGTTCTTTTTACCTGTACGTCTGTTTGGTTGGGTTTTCTGTATCTTTGTAAATGCTCTCCAGCATTTTATTTTTTGTTGTGGTACATTTTCAGTTATGTTGAAAATGGGCACAAACAAGTATTTTAAAACCACTTCAATTCAAGTTTTGATTAGGTTTTTCGGAAGTCACAGAGCGTAATCTGGCTCAGAGGCTAATTTAAACAGACAAGCATACTTCTTAACACCTAATTACTGCTTTTAAAGCGATTAACCCCGGATTCATAGACAGCGTGCCCTCAGATGCCCCCGACAAACCCTTTTCAAGACCCGTTTAACTTTGTGACCATTTATATTATTTCTAATTTACAGATATGGCATAACGTATCAATGTTTTTTTTTATTATTACGCACTATCTCAGTCTTCATCCTTATTGGTAAAGGATGCACCTCATTGCATTATTGACAAAATAGTCACTTAAGTCAGCTGGATTTAAAGTGCAGAAGTTAATAGGTGCTGGCAGCCTCTCATACCTTTGGAAAGTGGCAGTTTGATCTAACTGTTGTATTTGGTGTGTGTGCTGGATTAGCAAAATACATGTTCTTTCTGGCACTGGAAAGAAAACAGACTTATTTAGAGGTGATACTGAGCCTGTGGCAACACTTTGAGGGGGAAATTATCTGGCAATGGAAGTCCCTGCAGACACCGTAATGAAGTGTAAGGAAGAGTTATCATTTTCAATCACTTCCAAACATTATGTGCATATCATGGCCTTTAGAAATGACAGCATCCACACTGTCAGATTTACAGGTTTTTGTTGTTTTATTTTGTTTATAATCCCTGTTGACAACAGTGGACTAAAAAGCCAAAGAAATAAAAAAGAAAATTTCTTATTACTAGAACAAACATTTATAAATGTGCGAGGATGTTGATTATTTTTGAATTTTCTTTTTCAATTGCTATCATCATATACTAATTTTATAGTCCTTTTCAAGTTTCTTTAGAACGTGACTTTTATTTTCCATGTGCTAAACACAGAATAAAGTTACAGTAGCACCAACTAGAAGCACTTTGATTGTGGATCTTGTTTTTCTTTCTCCACACGCATTAGTGAGCCACCAACATGACTTAGTGCTGTTAATGAGCACTGGTGTACAATAGGCCACGTAAGCTGTGACAGACGAGCTGGCCTGATGGAGGCCTGTTGTGTTCGTCCAGGCCTGTGGACCTTTGCCAGGCCGTTAGACAGATGAAGCTCCACTCCATCAGGCCCAACCAGGGGTGTCAGGAGGCCCCGCCTGCTAGGCTGCAGAGGCCACAAGGGCTCAAGCTCTAATTGCCCTCCAGTAGCCTGTGTGGCTTAGCTGCTCCAATTTATTTTTGGATGGATAATTGTATAGAGGTGTATTTTGCATCTGAGTACTGTGCAACAGTGTATTAGTACAGTCCTTTTTTACGTTTGACATCGATCAGATACTTCACAGCTTCTATCCATAGTAAAAATAGATTAGGAGATGATACAAAATCTGATCTTTTCAACTTTGATTTGGGCCACGTTCAAATGTGGTCCTCCAATCAGATACAGGTCTGATTCTTTTTTAAATGCAACCTGAAGACTCAATCAATATGTCTCCTTGTGACCTGACACCATCTTCCGCGAGGGTCTTGTGAAGCCGCACTTGCAGGGGTAGTGAAAAGATCATCAGAATACATTTAAAATTAGACCAAAATAAATATTGCTCCACCTTTCACCATGTTTAATGAGCTGCTACTACTCAAACCCTTCAGGGTGTGTAGCCACTGGGTAGGGAAACTTTCCTGTCTAATTGATACCCTTTAGTTTTGAGAGTATCTGCTAAATATTCTGCATTATTTGGCATAATAAATCAGTGGAGAGGACGTAGATGAAAAGAGTAGGCTGTATTTTGCAATAACTCTCTCTCACCACACCTTTGTCAGAAAGACTAAATGCAGTAACTCCCAGAATTTGGTAGAGGCGCGCTCAGAATTAGTAATTAATTACACACATTATTATGTTATTTTGCTTGGCCAAGCGTGACCTTCACTGGGGCCCAGGCTCTAGTTAACAGGCTGACTAGCAGGACGTGGTCCATGGTGGAAATAATAAGGGAAAGGAGCGGAATTAATTGGGTTTGATTAAGAACACTTTTCAAAGGGACACCATTTCCCCCTCTTGACATAATTGGGGATCACTCAGAGGGTGGGGGGGATTTGATAGCTGGCGCCAGTTGCTCGTCTTCAACCCGGCGTTCAGTTGGACAAAAAAAACAGCACTCACTCCCTCGCCTAGCACATATGTGCATAGCATGCACCGCCACACATGTTAATGGCTTAATTTTGCATTTGTTGCACAAACATTCAGTCCCTGTAACTCATCTCATCCTGAAACAACTAATAAATGCATAACTAATCCTAACACAGACCTTTAGAAACCATATTAGCGAGTGTTGAATAGAACTAAAGGGAAACCAGACTGGCAGCACAAGTTTTGTCTTCAGTATAAATAATCAACTGGCAATCATGTGTCTTCCTCTTTTCCAACTTTTTACAACAAAATTTGAAGAGGGAGATTTGAAATTACAGATTGATTGGCTATAGATTTTTTCATATTCTTGAAAAATATATATATATAAATTAATACTTACAAGATATCAGTGCTTTGTCAAAATAACCTGTTGTGTTTAAATGGCATCTGCAGTTTTCTTTTATCTGCCACCAGTTTGTACTAACATGAGACAAGTATGTCACTCAAATGAGGTGTAAGTTATGAGGATATGGACTTTGAAAGTAAATGGATAGTTTTTAATGATTATTCTTTATCATCTTGCAGTGAGGGTACTTATAAGCGCCTGAAATTCTGGGAGTGATTAATAAAGGAGGATGTCCACGTGTTGACATAGGATAACATGCATATGTGAATAATCTGAGAGCATGCAAGTGGTATTCTTACATGACTGCTAACAGCTCACTGTTCAGAAAACTCTGGATGACGAGATTCACTAACAACATTCAGACATTTCTGATTGAAGCAGTTCTGTAGAAAATGATTTTCTCTTTAAGCAATATTACACATTAATATAAGATATGTAGCTATCTTTTATTTGATGTCGCAGAGCAGGGCAACCCCTCGCAAGATCCAGTGGTCTGGTGACTGGACGGTAGACAACACCACTGCCGTGATGTAATTCAGGTCTGTTCGCCGTGGTTTCTTGTAGATGGGGCAGAGATACAGCTTAGGATCCACTGGGGCGGTGGAGTTGATGGCAAACATGTGAATGACAGGCAAGGGTGTGAAGAGCACTTTAGCTGAGGACTCAATGAGATAGTTGTTCTTCCTGTCCCAGCCAGCACCATCCAGGTACAGACCATAAACATAAACTCCCTCCTGTTGAGTAAAAGGCAGTCAGTGACAGAATGAATATCTGTTCACGTTTCTCACAATCAAAATTATTAGCATATTTCTAGTATTTCCAAGTTTTTTTGACTCACTGTAGGTGAGGCTGTGATCTCCTCCATTGCCTGCTTCAGTACTTTGTTGTGCAGAGTGACTGTATCCAGAGCCCAGCCTTTGTTTGCCCTCGTCACTTCTTGTCTCATAGCTGTTAGGAACCCTGCAACCGTCACATACATTATTAGCCTAAGTCTAATATCAAGTTATATTTTTTGTTTAATAATAATTATTCTAGAAAAAACAGTTTCTCACCCTGTGGGTTGAAGAAGCCTGTCATCCAGAAGGTTTTGGGTCTTCCTTCAAACACCCAGCTGTAGAACTGTTTATTTCTCTCCAGAAGCTCAGTGAACCAGAAACCCAGCGTGGATGACTCCCAGGAGATTTTCCTCCACAGGTTTGGCACACGGGCATCAAAAATATTGTCCAGGGCATCACGGAGGTTCTAGAAGTCAAGTACAGACCAACAGTAAGGATGCTCTGATTGATTGGTCACCGATCATAATCGCCTGATATAAGCTCTAATTAGTTTGATTGGCGAAAGTTATTCAGTCTTTGACACGCATAGATTTACTTGGGCGGAACACTGGTATTTTAGCTGTCAGGGACTCGTTTTAGCATTTTGAACAGAAACAGAGAGAAAGAGAGATGTTATCTGGTTGATGTTTTATAAGCACAGAGCAGGTAAATCAAGAGTTTGTTCTTGATAGGCGATGTCATTAACAAGCCTCATCCATGCATGGCTCACCTGCTGTTATGAAAATGGAATTGAGGGTGAAAAAATCTAAAACGTGTTGTGTTCCTGTGCAACTTTATAAAACGTTCTCCTGCCCAAAAAAGTTAACGGATCAGACACATACAGAAGCAGAGAGAGGCAGGGCAGCTGGTGTGTGTAAGACACAAGTGCAGATGTGTGTGTGTGTGTGTGTGTGTGTGTGTGTGTGTGTGTATGTGTGTGTGTGTGTGCAGGGAGGGAAAGAGCAAGTGCAAAAAGTATTTGGTGACTAAACAATAAATAGGGGGATAATTAAATATAGTTAAAAAGATGAAATAAGAAAAAACCTAATAGAAATAGAAATATACCCTCCATTGTTTCACTGTCAAACACTGTTAAGGTCTAAGCTGCTCACAATAACCAAGAATAGGCTGCTATGGTTTAAGCTGTGTCATGTTGAACATAGCCTGCCAATAAATACACAATTGTCAGTTCCTTATGTCATAATTACCGTAATGCATTTTAATACGCTCTATACAATGTTGTTAAGAATAGTAAATAAATAAATAAGGCTACACTATAAACATACGGCTTCAAATAGACCCAGTGATGGGTATCGGCCAATACTGCTTCTAGTGATCGTGATGGACCTGAAAATCTGAGCACCCTTAATCAACAGTTTCACAGCACTTTTAACCCTGATGGAAATCTTAAAAATTATTTAAAAAAAATGTTTGCCCTTTATATTCAAAATTAAACGTTTTTACATTGCAATATGCAAATATTCAGTTAATACTCATTGAAAAAAATGTTTGCCTGAAAGTGAGTTGAGTTGATTAATCAGTAATCTGACCTCGCTCATTATGATAGTACCATCAATGGCCAACTTCAGGTCAGTCAGACTAGTGCGCACCACACCGATGATCCTTTGCATTCGATCCACCTCCTGACGTAGGAAGATGTTCATTGGGTTCAGAGCTCCCATTTTCAACAGCCTGGCTCTGACCTTGAAACCCATAAACGTTGCCATGTTTAGATTTTAGTTCGTGCAAGAATTGGTGAATAAAACCCTAATGATTAGACAAACTGACCTCATGTGGAACATAATTACGGGGTAGTTTCTCCAACATGTCCCCCGCCATTTTGTAAACAATGGACTCCCGAGTTTCTCCGGATCCCCCTCCACTTTCTTTGGGCTGGATATTTGTGATTGTGTCTAGAACCTCAGCAGATGTGTTTGTCTGATACCTAGTCAACATTGAACCAAAGCATGAATGCTACGATAACAATAATATTACACATTATAATTAAACATTATAAGCCCAGTATCTGCATCATTAATAGTTTTAGATTAATGTTTCCTTACGTTATGTCAGCGTTAGGATGTAGCCCCAATGCTTGGGGTGAATCCACAGTAGGCAAGCTCTGAATGTTTTCCATGTACTCCTCTACTGTCTTGCACACTGGAATTTTGTAACCCGTGTAGAAGCAAAATGATGGGTCAAACATCTTTTTACTGAACCATACCTGCAATGAAAAACACCCATTGTATTGTAAACAAACTTCATTAAACTATTGATCAAGGAGATGCAACATGAATGAATAAAAAAATTAGACTATTACACGCGCAAAACACTTGAGTAGGCGTTTGTCATAGTCATCTGTAACCCTTCCTCCGTACTGCACCTCAGCTAGCATGTATCGCACAGTTACCCATGACAC